AGTAATGAACCTAAGCATAAAATGAATCCGTCAATCAGGCCACCAAACCCAAATCTCAGCTGAATAAATTTGTGAAACATGCATAATATTTGTATGACATCAATTCAATACATTTTATAAAAGCTAAGGTTGCATTGGAAACCTTTCAGGGTGAATTTGAATATTAACATTTCATCACAGCAGTACTAGAAAGAGGAGACCAATCTCCTTGACTCAATATTTCCTAATATTAACCTGTTTTCTTTGCAGGTGTCTAACAAAATTCTGACTTGTAAGCAATGGTAGCGGTGATGATCATACATACTTTCTGAATTTTATCATAATCTAGTACTTGTTCAGAAGAGGTTCTTTCCAGGGTGACTGGCAATGTAGCAATAGCATTTAGACTTATACCAGTTCATAGTGCTTTACAGCCCTCTCAGCATATTACCCCCAACAATCTGGGCTCTCATTTTACCGACTTTGGAAGGATGGGAGGCTGAGTCAACCTTGAGTTTGTCAGGATCAAACTCCTGACAGTGAGCAGAGTCAGCCTGCAATATTACATTCTAACTAATGCGCCACCACGTACACTTATGTAAGTGACTGAATGCATGGAAAGTAGGATTTGTACTACTAACCTTGCTATCCTCTTTAGCAAATCTCACTCTATACACTTGAATATAGGAGTCAGATATTTAGTGATTCTCATAATTTTTACCTTTTCTCAGCACTTTTTGCTGCCGATAAATCATTTTCTCTATTGATCTGCTATATCACTATACTGAGCAAGTCAAGATATCCTATATTTCTCATTGGGCAAGATATGGCTGGGAATTTCCTTGAAATACATCTTTCTATTCTGAATGCTTTTCCCCCATAAAAAGAGCATTATTTTATGCACAGTGTTTATTAAAAGAATATACTAAGAATGGTTAAATTAAAAAACAGAATTATCTCATTTCCAATAGTTGTTTCAATGAGAGGATTTACTTGAAACTAGACATCCCTACTAAAAATCTTTGTATATAATTATTAAAGGTAAGGACATCTGGCCATCTTCACACTGTTTGGAAATGTAGGAAGTAATTTATTTTGAATTGATCTTGTAACATTTTATTATCTTGGAAAGTTTACAATTTCCTTTCAAAGTTTTTTCTTTAAAACATTTTTTCTTTTAAATATTATTTACATAAATCTCCATGATACCTTAAAGTAAAAACTGAATTAAAGTGATTTTTGGAAAATTCAATAGTTTGGCTGGGTAGTACATCTCAAAAAATGGAAAGACTTTTTTTTGGATTGAGCATATCTGAAATGTTTGGGTTTTTGCTGGTGAATGAGGAGATGCTTAAAGAATATACTAAAAGCTTAACCAATAAATAGTTTATATTTTTGAAAAAAATATAAGTGAGCAACATATGAAGATAGGATGAAAAGAAGCAAATCATTGCAGGGCCAGGATAGCAGGATTTCAGTGTGCAATTATTTCAGCACCAATATTTAAATGAGTATCTATTTACTTTGTAATAGTTATACAATTTGAAGTTTACTTCTTAGTAAGATAGAAGAATGTGGAATAGACAATACCTCCACTAGATGAACTGACAACCGGCTGTCCAATTGCACTCAGTGGGTAGTTCTCCATGAAACTATATCTGCATGGAGGGACACTTGCAGTGGAGTAGATCAAAGTTCTGTCTTAGGCCAGTACTCTTCAACATCATCATAAATGACCTAGACATGGGGATAGAAAGAGGGAAGTTATCAAATTTGCAGATGACACCAAACTGGGCGAAATCACTAACACTTTAGAAGACAAACTCAAGAATCAGAAGGATGTGAACAGACTTGAACACTGGGCCTTATTCAACAAAATACAATCCCTTGTTGAGAAATGTAAGATCCTACGTATAGGTAAGAAAAACCAAATGCACAGGTATAGAATAGGCAGTAACTCTCTCAACAGCAGTAACTGTGGGATGGATCTAGGTGTCCTAGTGAACAATCACTGACATATGTGCTGCACTGCCAAAACAACCAATATAGTCCTAAGCTACATTGACAGAGAGATATATCAAGATGACATGATATACTATTCCCAATTTATATTGCACTGGTGAGGCCACACTTTGAATACTGCATTCGTTTCTGGTCATTATGATACAAAAAAGATATTGAGCACAGAGAAGAGCAAGAAAGATGATAAGAGGTCCAGAGGCTAAACTGTATGATGAATGATTGAGAGAATGAGGTATGTCTGGTTTAAGAAAGAGAAGGACTAGGAGTGACATGATAACAGCCTTCCAAGACTTGAGGGCTGTCACAGAGGAGAGGGGATTAATCTACTCTTCAAAGCACCTGGAGAAGGACAAGAAGTAATGGGTGGAAATTTATTAAGGAGAGATCCAGCCTAGAACTAAGAAGAAATTTTCTGGCAGTGAAAACAATCAATCAGTGAAAAGGCTTACCTCCATATGTTGTGGGTGATCTACCAATGAAAGTTTTCAAGAAAAGATTGGACAGCCGTTTGTCTGGAATGATATAGGGCTTGGATTACAAGATCTCCAAGAACTCGTCCAATCCTATTATTCTATGTTCTGTGTTTCAGAAGGAAGCATTTTACTCTATCAAGAAAATCTGTTCAAATCAAATCATTCCATCACCCCAATGACGAATCTGACCAAGTTCATGCATGAGACATTTTGTGCATGTTCATATTTAATGTTGGTGGACAAATTAAGGCTCTATTCTATCTTGCAGTATTCGTGACTTGATTTCCTGTTATTAAAACTACAACTGTCAGAAGTTGACACCTTTTTTCCAGAAAAAGAAAAGAGATCTCTACTAGTTTAGCAATTTAGCAACAACTCTCTTACATTCTAAATGAAAAAGGAAATAACACTTTCTACATTGTACTAATTATTTTATTTATCTACCGTATTTTCTGGCATATAAGACGACTTTCTAAAGCATGCAAATCGTCTCCGAAGTCGGGGGTTGTCTTATACGCCGAGTCGTCTTATACACCGGAAAATACGGTATATAGGGCATTTAATTTTAAAAAAATATAACACCTATTTATATTTTTATTTTAGGTTTGCTATATGATGAACATTGGCCAATGCAGATTTAAACTCTGAAAGTATCCTAGCACAAATACACAAATACACATGCATACATACTTCTCTCTTTGTCTCTTCTTCTCTCTTCTCTTAGAATAGTGTTGTGCATTGGAATAGTTTTTTTCTTCAGTTTCTTTTTGGAAAGGGACTAGCATGTGTAAATTATGCTATTTGTTCAAAATGTCATAATAAAGATTAAAAAGGCAAAAAAAAATCTTCCATTTTTTGTTATCTCATAAAAATGGGTTCAAATTTTCAAAATTAAACAGCAACTGGCTGAATAGAGATCTGCTAACTTTTGCTTTTATGGGTCAACTGGTAAAGACTTCAGTATTGATTCCACCTTCACCAACTAGGCACAATTATAACCAAGTGGACAACTTCACAAGAATCTAAGAACTCCTGATAATTCTTCCTGAAGAAAGGTTAAAAAGCCTTAACCAGAGACTTCTAGCAATTGCTGTATTTCAAATGCAAGCCCTGTATACAGAAATAATAGTCACATACTGGTTGTGTTTCTTTCTCATTTCTGCCTTATCTAGTGGGTTACCTAGCTTCTTCTTTTGAGATAGTTGGCTTGTTTCCATATGACCTTTTTTATCATGATTCTATTGTTTTTATCTGATTATTGAGAACTATTACAGTCTAGGGATAAACTAAATATAACATTGCATTGCTTTAAAGTCAAGAAAAACAAGCATTAGGAAAAGTTGCCCCTGGTTCTTATTCTTATTTGCCTTTCTGTTTAATTACAGGAGATAGTGATACTCACTGGTTGGGTTACTTTACCAACAGTGGTTTTATTAATTCAAATTATATCCTATATAGCTAATAGAAAATAATTGCCAAGTAAATATAATTTAATAGCCGTGGGTTTTCATATTGCTAGACACTACGTAGGAGGCTAATTCTAATGAGCTGAGACTCAGTCTAAATAATTAAAGAAGTTAATATTTCTGTTTGGCTGGCTGATCAATTTAAAAAAGCCCTTAGTCCTTTAAAAGTAAGCGTAGAACTATGTCATGGGAAACATATTGAATGTGAAAGATTTATTAGGCTATATTCACACAAACAAACTGCGGTTCAGCAGCACACCAAAAGACTTACAATTTGCAGTGGTGAGAACTAATTAGAATATATTTCAAATCAGAAATTGAAAGAAATATGTCCTTGTATAGAATGTACCATTTATTATGCACTGTTGAGAGCAATTCATATGCTAACTCATTGTTATATACTGTGCCCTTTGGCATAGCATAACTCTATTAGATTTGAATGGGAGTAACCCTGTTGTCTCTTATAATGCCTTGAAAAATTGGCCAGTCTCTGGGCATAGGTTTCAGAAGTGAAATATGTAGCTTGGCCTCGACCTCACTTGTGCCGTATAGTATTGTGTGTTTTTGTCTGCTTTGTTTCCATTATTTTGTTTTTTTATCTTTTTAGTAGTAGTAGTAAAGTTGGAAGGGACATTGGAGGTCATCTAGTCCAAACCCCTGCTCAGACAGGAAAGCCTACACCATTTCGGACAAATGGCTGTCCAGTCTCTTAAAAACTTTCAGTGTTGGAGCATTTACTGCTTCTGGAGGCAGGCTGTTCCACTGATTAATTGTTCTCACTGTCAGGAAGTTTCTCCTTAGTTCTAGGTTGCTTCTCTCCTTGATTAGTTTCCACCCGTTGCTTCTTGTCCTGCCTTCAGGTGCTTTGGAAAATACAAAGCACTTGAATTTTTAATACAATGTAAGCCTTCCAGAGACCGTATTTCCAAATTGGGTGGCCCTCCATATAATTTATATAAATAAATAAAAAATTAACAGTGTTTAGTTCTGCTTTGATGCCAGCTAATGGGATAAAATTCAAAAATTAATGGCTTTAGTTTTTCATCTTGTTTTTCTTTAGAGTATTTCTGAGAGCCATCAACAAATTTTCTGAAACTATGAACCACAAGTTTCTGGAAAACATGAATTTTGAAGAGCAAGTAAGTGGTTTATTTATTATTTACTTTTTTAAAAATAACAAGAATTTACTTGTTTTGTGTCTACTTTTTTCAATATTTTCCCAAACATATTGGAATTTGATTGATAAGGGATGAAAGACATCCAAAGGCCATTTAATTTGGGAGAATTACTTTTTCTCCAGGTTTGGTATTTTGATTATTATAAGGTTCTCAGTCTGATGCTTTTATCAGTTTGGTTGATTTGGACAAAACTGTAGAATAAATAACATGTAATACTGGAGCATCATGTCTATATGGAATTTAATTAAAATATCAGAACATTCTTGTTTGGCACAGATATCTTTAATATCAGGAACTCATTTTGCTTTTTCTATAGAGGGTCTATACTTGGAACAAGTTCAAACTAAGGTTGAAATGTGGCCCTTACCTTATTTCAGTTTATGGAGTGAGTTAAAACCTATTTTTTACCCAAGCTTGTTTATGCTGGTATTTCTTAAAAGTTTTAATTGTTACCCCAAAAGTCAGAATAAATTCTCAATGTTTGTAAGTTGCCTAGAGCCATAAATGAGAATTGATAACAGATATATTTTAATTAATTAATTGAAGTAATAAAACAGTTATTGAGGAAATTTCTTAGCACGTAGAAATACATGTTATTTATATCAAGACCTCAAGAAGATAAAGACTTAGCATACCAATTCTTTTTTCAGATTGAATTCACATATAATTAAATATTTTAATATAGCATCAGAGCAGCAAGCAAAGTACCAAAAATGTGAATTATCAGGGAGACTTTGTTCCTGTCAAGTAATGTGAGGCCGCATTGTGAAATCAAAATTATATTTCAAAACAGCCCCCAGAAAGGAACTTAAGCTTCCTTTTTGTCCTACTTGTCCCAGAAACTGACAAGTAAAAATATAGTTTATAAAATTCATATGGTAAATATGAATAATATTAATGTAAATGAGAGTATAATGAGTAATAGCTGTTTTCAAGCCAGAGCATGAATGATAAAGCATAATTTTCTTTACTCTCTGAGATTTAACAGACTACATACCACTGGCATGCCAGATTTCCTTTTTCTTCCCACTGTTCTTGCTATTTCAGTTTCGAGGCTACCTGATTCTATAGCGAGTCTGCCTGCCTGCTTACAGATAAAAGTTAATTTAAAACAAAATATAGCAAGAAAAAAGAAGACAGCTAATGAAACCAACACTCAACCACCCACCCCAGTCTGTGTATAAGACAAAAAATAGTGTATAAAACAAAAAATAGAAATGATGTCAAAGAAACAGTGGTGAATATCATTTATCGCATTGAGTTATCCTATGTGAAATTGTCCGTAGCAAGTTGTCCCACAGCAAATCGACAGCAGCAAGATAGCCGTGGCAAGTTGGCCATGACAAATTGTCCCATTTCATTGTCTGTTAAAATTATCTTTATTGCAAACCTACATCAGAAATTAACAATGCTGTCATAACAATTAAACATGTAACACTTTTCTTTGGTTTGGAACTTACCTTATGCAGATGTTAGAAAGTCAGAGAATTGATTGGCATAAATGTTCTACCAATCTTACAAGAAATGCTTGTTTTTGGACTTTTGATTCCACTGAAACTTGCAATGCAGCAGTCAATGCATATTTATTGACTTTTAGTATCATTGACTTATTTATGATCTACCAGTTGGGATGTTTTAAAAATTATGAAATGTCATTCAAAGCACTTTATTTTTTTTATTTTTTTTGCCCAAAATGCAAACATCTGTTGCACCATATTCACTGTGTACCAATGGATGGATATCATACATTCCAAGGCACAGTTCTATTTTTTCCTCACAAAATAACAGGACATGGCTTTCTATGAATTGTGAGGGAGTTCAATAGTGGGGACAGAATAGGGAAATTTATGACTTTGCTCTGGCCCTGAATTTAGATTGATCCTTTCTCTTTAAGAATTGCACAGAAAATGGGATTCTATCAAGTGAGATTTATTCTCCTCATGTGGCGGTAGAAAATGTCACACATCAATTTGCAGGATGGGCCATCTCTCCTGCCTCCCGCCCCGTCTTTCCTTCATCTGTCCCTTCAGCTCCCCCTTGTGTGTTTGTTTCTCCCCTTTTCCAGATGAAGCCTTGAACATCTCTATATGGGAAAGAAATAATGCAGAGGTCCCACTTTATTGAATAGAGTAGAAACAACATGAACCTTGAGATTTTTTCCGTTCCTTCTCTAAACATCCTGTACTGACAATGTTTTAGAAGACAAATGCAATTTTTGTACATGATAGAATATATGCTATGATAGATGGTTTGGACAGTTTGTTGTTGTTTTTCTAACAGTGCTATTAGATATGCATACTGCATTAAGTTAAAAGAAATCAAAATGCTGTTTATTCAGTAATGGCCAGCAAAATTTGTAAAATATATAACACAAAAGTAAAATCAAATATATGAAATAATAATAGCATAGAAAACATAAAATAGCAATGTAAAATATACCACTATAGTAGTGTTCATTACCTGTGCAAGAGTTAAAAATATTACAACCTAGGAAGTAAAATAAAAGTCACTTAAAACAAGATAGCTAAAGCATATTAAATCTAAAGTGATGAATAAAAGAGGAGGGATAATTTCTGTGACCACAGTTATGTATTTTTTTCATTGCAACACTGAATTTGGCTACTGCATAAGTAATAAAGGGCTTCAACTCTTTTAGAAGATGGTCCACAGAGAAATTGGCTGGCCTTCCTGGAAATTTAGATATTAGAGATTGTAAGACCATTTGACCCCAAACTTGTTAGCCTTTTAGAAAACCATGAAGATCTGATTTTTCTTTGGACATTAGGTTAGATTGCTAGTTGGATCCAGCACACATGGGATTTTGACTGCCTTATTTTGATAATAAATCTTTTCAATGTGTTACATTTACATTTTTACTATGAACTGCCTAGAGTCACTAGGTGAGATAGTGGCTATGTAAGAATAGTAAATTATTAAGCATGCCTTGCACTGCTTGTATATGTTTCACTTTTTGAAAACTCACTGGAGTTTGTTGTTCCAGAAGTTTCAGGAGAAAACGCAAGAGAAAATCCTGATCCTGACTGGAGTGTTTTTATTTGTTTGCTTGTAAATTTTTATAAAGTCTAGAAACAGAAAGACAACACTCAAGAAAAGAAACTTCACTTGTTTTTCAGCTCAACAAGAGTGCACCATTCTATTTTCTTATCTCTTTTCATTTGATGAACACTTCCTTCCATTTACCCAAACAAAGCTTTCTTTTAGATCAGAAGAATGCAGTGCTTATAGAAACATAATGCTGATAGATGGGGATCTGGGAGGAAGGGCTTTTCGAAAAGGATATTGTGCTATATGCCACTATGATTGTGTTGTATGCCATTTGAACATGCTTTGCTGCCTCAGAGATTAATCCACAAGGTTTTGTTGTTGTTGTTAAGGAGATATGGGGACAGAAGGCATGCACACAGCCTCTAAAGTTTTTCCTTTTCTGATCCAAAGGACTCCATGTCACTGTCAGACTTAGTTTGTTCAGACAATATGTCTTTAGTATGATATATAAGACAAAATACCATTATTCCAACAACTGTCCATTTTGTTTATTTCCCACTTTTATTATTTAGATAAATTATTCAAGGCCACCTAATACTCCTTCCTCCTCCTACTTTCTCACAGTTCTGTGAGGTGAGTTGGGCTGAAAGAGATCATCTAGTCCAGGGGTGTCAAACTCAATTTCATTGAGGGCCGTATCAGCATTGCGGTTGCCCTCAGGGGACTGGGTGGGTGTGGCCAGCCATACATATGGCTGTGCTTCTTGTAGTATTCCTCTCTGAAGCTTGCTAAAAGGCAGTTAATATGAATATCAACGCTTTAAACTGATGGGGGTATAATATATAGAAATAAATATCACTCACAATTTATAGTTTGCTGAAATATATAAACTATAAAAATATTATGTATGAGAAAATCTCCCTTGTGTGGAAAAAGGAGGAACTATTTTGATCAAGGTATTGCAGCTTTTTCTAGTTAAATTTTGCTACAGGTAAATTTTGGTATTAAAATATTGCTATACTGATATTTGAAAACTAGGGTCAAAATATATTCCAGGATCATGGAATTATGTATTTCTGTTTTTCATCATTGAGAAATGTGGTCAAAATTTTACCTATTAGTACAATGAAAATTGATGAAAATCCAGAACTCTTCATAGCCTCATAGTGTAATTCTTGAGGTTAAAAATAATAGGTTATTTTTGGCTTTATTCCATATGCATCTTTTAGAATTTAATTTTGCTAAAATCAAGAAGCTTTTTTCCCCATAAAGCAGTTATGAAGAACTTATGATATTATACTTTTACCTCTAAAGCTGCATTCCTTGGTTGGAGATGGAAAATTATTCTGAACCTGGTATATGCAAAAGGGTGCACGGTAACTTTATTGTTTATGAGCTAATGAACCCCATGTGAATCTCCAGATGCTACTCAGGGAATGCAGGCTAATAGGTATAAAAACCACACTCTTGCCTTTTTATTCTAATTGCAATGTAATAATAGCACAAAACTTTGCATCATATTAAATCCTTTTTGCTGGCTGCCTTCATAAATTATTTAGGTTTTACACAGCTTAATACAACCTTCCATTTCAGGAGAAATGCATGATAACAATTTGGTGTTCTGTCTTCTGCTCAATTTACAGCTCTGGAACAACTATTTTCATCTTGCAGTGGCTTTTATCACCCAGGACACCTTGCAGCTCGAGCAATTCTCCCATGGTAAATGCATTAAGATCCTGAACAAGTAGGTCTTGTTTTTAATCATTGAAAAGTGATTTTTGCTTCTCATTTAGACAAGAAAGCTGGGATGAAGATAATGACTTCTGCTTTCCTTTCAGATATGAAGACATGAGGCGTTTAATTGGTTTTGCTATCCGTGACATGTGGTACAAACTTGGTAAGTTAGAGTATGCAAAAGCAAAGATGGACCTCCCCTGGTTCTGATGGAGACTTTTTCTAATGAGATGTTCCATTTTATTAAAACTTTTTTTATTACATTTATCTTGTCTTATGAAATACCTGCCACTTTATTTATAAGATATGTACCTGACTATCTGGCAGATAGCAACACAGAAATTTCTACTCATGGAACATTGTTAAATATTATTAAGAATTGGAACAAGGAGACAAACTGAAAATAGTATAAAGAGAACTAAGCAAAGAGCTTTCATTGATAGCAAAAGGCATTGCGATCACCTTATCAACTACTAACTTTAACAGTTATAGACACTGCCCTTAACATGGATCTTTCTGGGTAAAGGGAATAACATTCCTGGAGATCAGTTTTAGAGAAGAAGGTCATTTCTTTTTTTTTGAGTGTTAGTTTAGAAAATGAACTCCTGTTCAGAGATGTATTTTAGTTTTGGTTATAGAAATGTAGAGCTGCTTCTACTCTTTTTCTCTCAATTAAAATATTTATACCTTCTGTTTTACATTAACAACACTTTTTGTTTTGTTCATATGTATACAATGACCAACAAGTATTGTTGAGTAATGTTTGGATTCTCAGTTTCTAAGTAAATACATAGTACTACTACCTGTTCCAGCCTAGGGAAAGAATATGCATAGAGGGACAAGGAAGTAAGAGTTGAATTAGCTGAGCTTGGACTTGATGAATTTACTGCCAAGTCAGCAGGGATCGAACTGGAGCTGGTCCATTACAGCTCCCTATAATAATATAGCTGATCTGTAATTATAATTCAAGCAAATTTTGCATCTTGAATGGAAGCTTCTATGGAAGAAAATGGAATGGCCAGCCACCAAGGTTTATCTCAGTAGCAAGTGTGTCTGTTTGCTTTCATGCGAAGGAAGAATCTGTTTATTTAAGTTTCAATCTATCAGCATGAATTTTTATTTTTTACTGCTATCTGTGGTTGTTATTTCAGAATAGTCATAGCTGGATGACACTGTTTTGCTGTTGTATCCAACAATACAATGACATTTTTCTTGAAATTAGAAAAACCCAGCAAAATGATGAAAGCAGCTGCTTAATATCAGATTGATACAGCTTAAAGATGGAACTTTGGTTACAGCCACTTTAAAAAATCACTTTGATTAAAACAGAATCCTGTTTTAATCAAACCTGTATATGTTATGCAGGTTTTCTGCAGGGGGAAAAAGTATTCATTTGTAAACATATTAAACAATTATGAATCATCAGTGACTTACAATTCTCAAAAACTGAAGGTTTATAGAAATTGTAATTTTTTCTTAAATTAAAAAGGTGAGAATCCAGCAAGTATTAAAAAGCTCATTAGAACAAGAGATTAAAGGATTTGTAACAACTAGATGAAACATTTTGATGGATTAAATTGTGTGCAACAGTAAGAATTTTAGTGGAAGAAAAATAATAAATTTACAGGGCATATCACATTTAGAGAAAATTGATTAGTTTTACCAATGTTATATTACTCCTGTATTGATTTCTAAAACTGATAATTCATTTTCTAAAAACTGATGGAAATGTAATAATTGTAACACGTAGTTCAATTAGCTTATATCATATATTTGCTGGCAATATTGTAAAGTTCAATAATTTTGAAAAATCATTTATAATGGAATGAGACAAATTCTAAAAGTATTTATTTATTCAGCAAGCAAACTTATAACCACCCATCTCACCAAAAGTATGAAGTGTATAACAATTGACAAATGTTAATACAATACACTGTTGAATACAATGATAGTTATAGCCAAATAACTTTTTTATTTCTATCCTAAAATAAAAACATTCTCATCAAGCTATTACTTTTCTAAAATAAGTTGACTTTCCAACCTGCCATCTTTCTATTAATTTATATTAATATTACTAAATATATTCCAACAAAGTACCCTAACTTTAACATGGTCAGCATTATAAGGATACTGTACATTGGAGAAGTTATAACTTCATGTTTGAAAGATAAATCTAATACAACATTTTATTTATTGTGGAAATTTGGGGGGACTATAATTCTGCACATGAGCTTGTACCACATCTAAAATTTCTCTTATCGTCACATTTTAACCTGAAAGCATTGTACCATTTGTCAAATAAGATAGATTTATATGCTATGAAATGGTATGCCTTTCTTTCTTATTTCTTTCAGGCTAGATAATTATAGTTATTAATTTGTCTGGGCTCATACCTCAAGGATAAATTTCTTATTTAGTGGATTGTAATTTTTCATTTTTGTGCTGATTACTGTTATTGATACTTGCACACTAATTTGATTTTAAGAATGAACTGTAGTTTTAAAATGATATAAGATACTTTAAATATGTAAAACTAGAATAACATTATACCAATGTAGGAAAATAGCACCCCTCCCAGAAAAAGAAATATTTTGGGGGATATTAAGAAAGCAAAATATATTTCCTCAAAGGAATAACAGAAAATCTTAGGCAGAACCCCCCAAGTCACTCTGCCCCAAGAGGCCAGGTTTGTAGAAATGCAGATGTGATAATCCTTTCAGAAAGACTGGAGCCAGGATGCTTAGAGCTGATGGGATTAAAAAGACGAAGATCCCTAGAACCAACAACCCCTCACTATCCAACACAGGACATAGCCATCAACCACAGTGCCAGGGAAGAAGGACATGACCTTTAGGACATAATAGGATTAACCCACCAACATTAGAATACCAGAAAAGCACACTGAACCTCAGGTCAAAGTTCATGCTACAGGAACAGGAACAATGCCAAACACAAAAGCCCAAAAAGGTATAAAAACCCACCACTCCCAGCTCCATGTGGTCAGCCACCCAAGAAACATGCTTCTATCACTGAAGTTTCTGGCAACTCAATAAACAAGAATCTTCTTTCCTAAAGCAGTCTCTATTTTGTTTGTTCCCAGCTTGGACTGCACCCTGATGAAGATTTTTCTTTCAATACGAGAAAATTTTACTCACTTTTTAAAAGATTTGTGATGGTGGTAAATCAGGAAGGCAGGAAGGAAGGAAGATTTTTAAGCTTCCATCAATTTTCTTGATGTTGTATAGCATACTTCCAAATAAATAAAGATTTTTGAAAGATTAGGAGCTTGGTGCCATCTAAGTTGTCTCTTCATCTATTGTTCTGCAACTGGAAATATGCAGCTACCAAAGTTTTAGTTATGTGGGAGAGTTTAAAATGAAATTGAGAAAGTACTCTTTCCACTTATTCAAAAGTGAATGTCCCTAGATGATGCCTGTCAAATTGGCAAATTAGACTTTGCAAAGAATGTTCAGAGTTCACTACCATGCAATTTGTTGTTTATTAGACCAGATGCTTTGTCCATAATGTTATACAGATAATCAAACCTATACCTGCTGCTGGTTTTTCATCTCTCTTCTCTGAAACATTAGACATGATTAAACACTGCAAGAGGGAGAACTATAAAGGTGGTCAACCAATACTTTGAACCTTATTGTATTTTACTTTGTTTTATACACACACACACACAGAGGGGGGAGGGAGGGAGAGAGATTTTGGAATTGGTTAAGAGGAGGAGAAAAGAGAGCGAGAGAAAGGGAGAGGGAGGAGGTATGGAGGAATATTTCATGACTAAAATATATTTCAAGACCTGGTTTTCTTGTTAGAGGTGACATTTACAAGCTTCTTTCTTCTTTTTTCATCATCTGTCATAATTGCAAATGCTTCCTAAGGCAGACTCCAGTGGTGCTCTATTTCATGTGGCTTTAAGTCATTGTACAGCCAACCTATAACAGAGTTACCAGAACATCATTTCTATTCTGAGCTTTCTAATGTTGGTATTATTCATCCAGGAATCAAAGCAGATGTGTTTTTTTTCAACTGTGATAGAGACAAGAAACATATCAGAGACTACTGTAATGTTTTTCTCTGATAAATTGGTTTTGATGGGAAGAGATGAGGAAATAGAATTATTTTCTCTTCCAAGAACATTCATTGATTAAATGTTGGTAACAGTAATCATTAAAAGAAGTCTGTGTACATTCAGCCAACTCATGTGGGTTATCTGATATGCAATATGCATTGCCTGTAATAGTAAACAGGCATATTATATTGCAATCTTGAGCTGTGAATAGACCATAACAATAGTGGAAGCTTAAGTTCTTATAATGCAATACGGTCATTATAATGCAATACGGTCAAAACTGACAGCAAATCACACTCCTTACTAGCACTGATGATGTTGCCTAGTTTGGGTAATGAAACATCCGCAAGAAAACAAGCAAGCTCAGAGAGCAGCAAGGACCCCTCAGGTAAAACAGAAGTTAGGCAATCAAACTGTAACTAGTGAAAGAACGAAAAAACTGACTGCTATTGGTAATAACTAGTATTATTCTACTTACGGAGTTTCTGCATTACATACTTATCATCTAATCATTGCTTCTCCCATTATGGAAGTTATCATAAATATTTTACTAATTTGTAAACAATACAAGAGTTACAAAACTGATGTGAAAAGGTATTTGTTGTTCTTTTGTAAATAGTTTGTTTCTCAACTAGAAATGTTGAATCATCAATCTTTCTTTAAATATCCACTCTAAAATCTAGAAGAAAGTTAAAATAAATCATTGAAATAGAAGTGTTATAATGGTATTGAAATGATGGTGCACCACTGGATGATATTATCAACGTTCTCTTCTGTATATTGTTCCAGGACAGAATAAGATCCGCTTTATTCCAGGAATGGTTGGACCTATCTTAGAAATGACCCTAATCCCTGAAGCTGAACTGCGAAAAGCCACCATCCCAATATTCTTTGACATAATGTTATGTGAATATAAACATACTGGTGAATTCAAAAAGGTATTATAAATTTTGTGTATCATTTGGTAAAGTCACTGCTGTTATTCTTAAATATCAGATAAATGCATACATTTTATTGTGTGATTCTTCACTCGTTCTATCTAAAATTAAGGGATAATTTTTAAATGAATTATCAAAAATAATTCATTTAAAAATTAAATGTATCTCAAGCTTTCCAAATCAGTTGATTATATTTTGTAAATGTCATTACAAAATCACATGGTATTAAGGTCAAATCACAGTCATTAAGTGAATCACATAAAAGCTAGTAGCTGAACTATTATAGCAGTAGCTAAGTACACTACTTTTGGTTTGAATCCAGAACTGAAGATCCTCTTCTGTTTCAGTTTGTTCTCCTCTTGACTTCATAATCCTCTATTTTCTGCTTTTAATTACTGCTTCTTTTTCTTGGCTTATAACAATTTATTTTAGGAATCTTTGTAAGGAAACAGGACTAAAAAAATGAAATATGCACCCTGGGATAGTGTGTAATTCAACAAATCTTCTTAAAAAGTCAAAGGTAGTCTGGTTGGGCATGATTTCTTCTTTGATCTTTCCTTGATTGGGGCATTGTTTCTTCCTTGGTAGTTTATCTGGTGTCGTTTGCTGCTTATCAAGGTATTGCCTGTGAAGGATGATGTACCCTGAGCTCTTTGTTTCCTTTCTTGTCTTTTGGTTATAACTTTAAATAGTATGTAGATGGAGTTTATCTGTATAACTGGCTTGATTTGTCTACTCCCAGGCTTTCAGGAATTCCCTAGCATTTTTGGATTTGGCCTAATTTAAAATGTTATATTTCTCAAACCATGTATTGCAGTATTAAGGGGTTTTTTTGTCATGACTTCCAATTGCCAATCAATGAATGTGAATGTATACTTCTATTTGCTGTCCTACACAGAGACTGTTATAGTCCTTATTTTATAAGTTGCAGATGAATACTGATTTTTTTTTCTCCTTTGGTAATTGGGTCTTTGGGTTTGCTTTAGATATTTGTGGATGAATTTCCTTGGTTTGTAGCAATAGACCAATATGAGATGCTTGAATCAACTACCAGATGGAAGTGCAACTGCTGAACCTTCATACCCAAATGTGGCCTTTATTAAATCTATAGCTAGATGAATAAAAATAGGAGTGAATAGGAGAAAGGCATCTAAAGCAGTACTGATGCTAAATATTCAAAGGATGTGGGCTCACTGTGAACTTTGCTTCTCATGTTCCACCCAAAACAACAGGGGTGCTCTTGAAAAATGTCCTAGTGAAGTTATCCTTAAGGTGGAATATTATATTGAAGGCAGGACCAATATCTATTTGAGAAGACAATTACTAAGCTGTTGGATGATGTTCTGAAAGAGACATGTGTCTTGCCTTTTTGACAGTGTGTTTCTCACTGTCATTTTATAAATAGTTTTGGCCCAAGGAAAGAAGATGTTTGTATCTCTTCCATCACACTTTAGCTTTAATCTCTTGACTCCCATAATTTGTCAGTCTGCAGGCAGCACAAGTACAGGGAACCGCTCTGTTTTATGGCAACCTCTGGCAAGGCAGTAGTACATTGCTTTGAGGCCAGGCAATAATGTGACAGCAGCATTGGCCCATTAGATAGAGAAGACATTCCTTCTGCTCATCTTACTGTGTAGGATTCTGCACTGAGCTGTCATTGTGCTCAAGGGCAAAATTATGTTGCACTGCATATGTTGTGACTTTCTCTTCATCTATTACACAGCCCAAGGGAAGGCACTACTAATGGAAGCTGTCAACACTGCAACGATCCTGGCTGAAGCCATTTTTGTTTTGTTTTTGGTTGCCACAGTACTGGGAGGGGGGATGAGTGGTTTTAAGGTTAGACTAAACAATAAATTGTCCCATGGGAACCAAGATCATTGCTGTCTGACTCTTGGCGGGCTGAGCCTTCTGTTAGAAAGTCCGCCAAAGTATTCTATTGAGGAACGTGGATAATGACATAGTGCTGGGGTGGGAAGTTCAACTTTGTAACATTGTCATCCTTGAGAGGGAATTCCAGACTTGGTTTCACTTTTGACTGTGCTGATACTTTGTAGCCAATAAATGTGTTCTTTAAAGAGACCTCTTTCCTTGGAGTTTTGCTTTTATTGGTCTTATCTATTGGAACCATGACAGAAGCCTTCCATGTGCAGAAAATAGATTTCTTTAGTCCAGGTTACAAGGCTTAATAGCAAAGTTCTCAGTGGTAGTAAAGAAAACATCTGGCAAAGAGGGCATGCTTTGGATCCTTCTGCTAGGGACTTACAGTATATTTGACAAGTCTAAGGTGGTGAGTCTCCTACAGCACTTGCCTTATGGAATATTTATTTCTCTCTCCCCCCACCCAAAAAAAGTGAAATTAGCTCCATCCCTGCTAATGTTCCATAAGTCCATCAAGACTTGGTTTGGTCCTCAAGCCTGGGGCCCATGAGGATTGTGAAATATTTTTAGACAGCTCTTTCATTAATCAACTCTCTCTCCTGTATCCAATGACTTACATTTTTAACAATGATTGCTTTATATTTCTTAATAATGATTGTTTTTATTTATTTACTGTTTACTTTATTGTTACACATTGGCCAAAGTCACTGAGATGGGCAGCTATGTAAATGTGCCATTAAAAAAAAAAACACTTCTCCAAGCTATACAGAGTTACTCTGCAGGAAGATGGGTGGCTAACAAATTTGATAAATATAGAAATACAGAAGAAAGAAGAATCATTTTTGTTCATATCTCAGTTGGAGAGAGACAGAATAAAGTTCCACTCCCTAAGTATTGTGATTTCAGTAATAATCATCTCCGAATTACAATTAATGAATGAAAGGCCAAAAAATACAACTGAATTTATAAATATAATTGTGTAGTTGATCCTTATAATTAATCAGGTAAAGGTAGAGTTTTTCCAGGCAAAAGAAAATGGAATCTAACAGGCACATCTGCAACAAAATACAGAAATATTTGGTGTCCTGCTTCAGAATACGTACTTTAATCTGTTTATTGTCTTATTTCTTAAAAGTAAACAATTTTTAAAGCATCTCTCAATATAAAAGTTGTCAGGAAGTGAGTGAGTTCCAAAGAAAAAATGATCAGGAAAAATAAGCCTAATAAGTCATGGAAAAGGTATGTGTGTATGTCACAGGCATTAGACTAGCAGATCTGAAGAAGGTTGGTCTTGGATTAGAACAAATAAAGAACATGGTCAATCAAGATATTGCCTGAAATATTTATTTTTTGGGGGGGGGAGTCTATAGATTTGTTGTTTGTGAGATACAGAGACAGCATCATTTTTTAAGGTTGTCACCTGTAATCAAAGCCAGCTAGCCTTAGCAGTTTTGTTTTCTTAAGGACACATTTTCCATATTGTTGACAAGAGGCTGACTAGGATAATTAATAACATCAAGGGTATCTGAAGAGCTGAATAGAATTTAGATATGCTGTGCATCCTGCCTTGTAATTGTAAAGTCTAAGTCGCAAAGGACAAACTTGAAAGGAGAGGACAGAAAGAGAGAAAGAAAGAAAGAGGAGTCACAGAAATCAGTGCACAGCAGCAAAAAGGGTTTAATTGGAGGAAGAAATCATTTGTCTGTTCTACAAACTAGAAAAGACAATTTTATGGAAGTAGGAGGTTGAGAGAAGATGCATGGGAGCAGACAGGGTAGAAGGGATAAAGTGTCAGGGCAAAAGATCAGATCTACACTTGAAGGTCCAATTCAAGTGATTCATTGCCACTCGTACCTATGCACAGGAATAGGCTCAATTAAAGATTAACACTTGTTAGAAGATAGATAAGAGTCAACGGAATTCAGGGAGTGGGGTTGGACTTAGTCCACTTGTGGCTATGTAGAGATTCTAGGCTGATCCCTCTTTTAACTCTGCTCCTAAGTTCTGCCACTCCTTCCCCTATATAAAGTTCTTCTAATAAGAACTGGTAGAGATGAATATATGTATAACAAGACAAGAGCAAAAAAACAAAAATTAGAAGTCAGAAAAAAATGACACCCTGGTCAATGCATTATGGAAAGAATAATTAAAATTTGAAGATAAAGTAAATGGGCATGGAAAATGAGGTAATCAGAGAAAGTTCTCCATTCCGTACACTGTAAAATAGAGAGTATCTGGTAGCGATATACCTTTGGTGACTTTGATCTTTACTAATTATTATTATTACAATCAGATAAACATCTCTGGCCAGCCCATTTTTGCTTTGTAGATGTTAGTACTGTATCAGGTCTTGACACCTGATTTAGCACTAAACACAAATGATTTTTATTCTGTGCCAAAAATAAATAAATAAATAAATAAGGTGACTGGCTCAGTGAGTTTGCATTTTTATTTATTTATGGGACGTCCTTCAAAACAGCACTTTTCAAGGACAATTTACAGCATGTTAAAATCAAAATGCAGTTATTTTAAAGTAAAAATGCAAAATAAAAATAAAAGTCCGAGCAGAAAAAGCAGCTAGATTAGTTTAAAAGCTTTATTACAAAGTTCATTTTAAGAAATGACTAAATTCTAAAAGGCCTGGGAGAATGAGCATTCTGGTTTTTGCCAAGGATCAGAAAGTTTCAAATTACTCCAAGGAAATGCATTGCTGATGGTTTAGGCCAAGGGTAGGTAACCTTGGCTTTTTTATGACTCATGGACTTCAACTCCCAGAATTCCTGAGCCAGCCATGCTTCCATTCAGTGGTAGAATTATATAATTATTAAACCCATGGATTTCTTTCTCCTTGTGTTTTTAATAATAAGAGTTTCAGATACATATTTGAATACATAGCTCTTTATTCTCTTTATCCCCTATTCAGGAAACCACATTCCTCTAGTTTTACTTTTCCCTTACTGCAGGACTAAAATTGTTATCACTTGACCCTGTAATATACTAGATACATCAACATAGTCCTAATATTAATCTAAAGACAAACAGGATTATTTTGAAATTTCTTATGAATTTGAACTTATATTTTATTAGCACATTAGGAAACATTTATCTTTTAAAGTTGCTGACTTATTGCTCTGTTTATGAGCTTTTTGTTCCAGCACTGTTTCACAACCATTTCCTTATAAACAGCAAGATTAGTTTACCACTTAAAAATATAATGGCTGTGTAAATCTGGCACTCTTTCCTGGGTGGGCAACATTAAAAATGGAAAAAAACTTTTTATATAAATCAGAAGAAATTTGAAAAGGAAGAAGAACAGATTGAATGGAAGATAAATTTATTAGGACAATTGTGGAAATTGGAGTAATAAGGAGGAGATTAAATGAATACAATTGGGCTAGTCTTTCCAAAAAAATCCTGTAATTAAATGGTCTTTCTTATTTCAAATAATACATATAATAATAGAGGGAGAACTGTTTGAGGATTCAAAAGCATTGACATGGAAGGTTAGTTGGCAAAGGAAAAAAGCCAGAGTAAGGCTGAAAGAAATTGGGTTTTGATCTAGTAGAGGGGATTTTATACTATTGATTAATGGGTTGAATATGGTGGAAAATAGCTAATTTTTAGAAAATAAAGTAACATTATAATTGAATAGGCAAGATGTGTAATAAAACTAATAGACTTTTGGTTTAATAGGGTGAAAAATAGATAACTTTTAGAAAATAGAATAAGATTATATGCAAATAGACAAGATGTGTATTTAGAATTTTAGATTTTGTTATAAAAAGGAAAAAATGTAGAAGCTGAGATAAGAGAAACTCTGGTTGCCTAAAGCTTGGTAATTATAATATACCAAATGTTAACTTGAATACTAAGGGGAAATTAAAGCCTGGAAAAAAGCAATAACAGGACATTGATTGTATATAAGAATTGAATGCAAACACAATTAAGATATGTATAAGCTAAAAACTATTGATAAATGTAACAAAGATGGTTTTATTTAGTTGATAACAATAAGAACTATATTAGCTCAATATAAGATAGTAGATATTAAGGGAAAAAGAGGAAATATTTGATGTTGTAATTTTGTGCTAAAGATTTATGTATGTTATTGAATTATTGACTACCCAGTCACCACGTTGCTGTTTAAATGTTTAATTGTAAAATTAGAAAACTAATAAAATATTATACATACATACGTACATACATACATACACACACACACACGCACACGCACACACACACACACTCATAATGGCTGTGTAAATCTGGCACTCTTTCCTGGGTGGGCTTGTTCTTCTAAATTTCTATGTTGCTGTTTTTACACATTTTTAATTCTAATTCATTCCACTTTAGTATTCAGTTTCCTGTCCTGTATTCAATTCACCCAGTGTGGTATAAGTATATTTTTGCTTGCATATAGACATTTTTCTTTCTTAGTCTTCTCCTAGATATTCATCTAGTTTTCCCAATCTTCCAAAGCAAATTTAGAGAAGAATAAAGCTTTGTTCCATCAAACACATCTGATGGTGGACAGACATCGTCAGAAATAATTCTGTGTGGGAGATCTTCAAGTCAATGTACCAAAATGTACTGGGCTCTTTACATTATTTTTAAAGTTTTGAGCAAAACTGTGCTTATAGAAGCTCTCATGCGGAGGACAGATCTTTGCTGTCACATATGTAGCTGCCAGAAGTTTTCCAAGTAGAGCCCAGGTTTATCACCTGAATATTATGAGATATACAGAGTTAAGTGATGTCTTGTCACTCTCTGAACTTTCAAGCTTCACTGAAATGTGATTTGAGCAAAAACTGCTGGAAGCAAAATAGCTTCACATGGACCATATTTGGATTCCTTGGTGCATCAAATGGCATTGACAGAAAGGGCAAATCTCAAAAAAAAAACCCACCACCCCAATTCATTTAATATTTTCATCAAATTGGCTCATATGGTGTTACTGTATAACAAATGTCACTATTCGCTGGATCAATGACCTCTAAACACATAAAGTCACTAGCCTTTAAAAATCAACAATTAAAGCTAATGACTCAAGTGAGGTTTGCTTAAAAAGAGTTATACAATACTATGATCATTATCATTTAGTGCTTCAGAAGTTTAAAGCAAAATCCTTTTTATCCAGGTGTCATTTTGATTTACTGTATCCATTTTTTCCCCAGCTCTTGATTTTAGAGTAGTTTTTGAGATACCTATGTTCCCTTCTCCACAGGGAATGAATATATTTTTTTTCATTCTTATAACATGGATTTTAAATTCAGAACCTAACTTCATAACAGTAGGAGGAGGTTAATTTGCAAAACAGGCTAGCATTTTCACTTAAGCTTCATGCTCACCTAACATTTGTTATCAAACTGTAAGCTGAATTCATTAGAATCTATCATGCTATACTGAACAGATTTTTTTCTTCTGATTTGTTTGAATTCTCTTTTACACGGTGTTGTTGAGAAATACTAGTAGTATGTCAAAATTAGTTAAAGTTGGGCAAATTGACCTTTTAAAGATCTCAATATAATATTATCCAAAGAAGTAAATTATTTTATAAGTCACACTATCTTGTGTTCTCATTTTAAAATGGCTGTTTTTATCACCTTGTTTATTAAGCAGGTATTAATATTGGAATCACTCTCATATACTATTTTCTTCTCAGTACATAATAGTTCTTGCAGTTTTCTTGTCAGCAATTTTGAAAGTGGGTTGCCATTGCCTGCATCTTAGAGCTGAGAAAAAGTGACTGGCCCAAAGTCACACATCTGGCTTTGTGTCTAAAGCAGCATAGAACATATGGTGTCCAGCAATATCACATTATGCCTTAAAACTACAGCCAACTTACTGTCATAAATACATGGTGTTCAGACTTTCTCAAGGATCTGATCAGTCATCAGCTTAGACTTGAGAAGGGATCTAATAATTCTTTGGATTCAAAGTTAGCCTTCTAATGTGAACCAATAATGAAAAGTTATCTTGAGACTTTGAAACAATCATATACATGGAATATTTATGATACAAACAGCCAGTGTATTGGTGTCCATAGAGTGTCTGGACAATAGCTGGAATATCTCACTTCTCTTTTTCTTTTCCAGCTCTCCAAACCCCTAAAATTATGGTGATAAACATCAATAGCAAAATATTTAGCAATGACACCTTAATTTTTTTTATATTCCAGAAACCAGTATGTACCACCAATGTGTCTTACCCCTGATATAATATCATTTTATTTGTGTATGTAAACTCTTCAAACTGCCCAAATTGTGACGATAAAAATTAATAACAAAATATTTAGCAATGAGACCTTAATTTTTCATATTCCAGAAACCAGTATGTACTACCAGTGTGTCTTGCCCCTGATATAATATTATTTTTGTGGTGTAAATGTGCATGCATATAGTTTACAGTATATTCGTTTTCTGTAATGTTAAAAAGAATGTGAGAAGGTTTCTATTCCATAAAATAATAAATTGTAAAACTGTAGAATGGAAAGTGATCACAAGTATCAACTAATCCGTTCATTTGTAGAACGGAGGATAATGATTAATAGAAGTGGCTGAAAGTTGACTTCATATTTAAATAAAATCTTTATAAGCACAACTTATATCCATTATGTTTTAATTTCTATGGTCATGGGGAAATAATTCTTTGCCATCTTTCCTGTATCTTCCCTTTATGAGAGCTTTCCTGTCTCCCTTAAGTATTACTGACTATTTAAAATCTGTATTCTGAAATTCCTTGGGCATGTCTACATAGGGCAAATTCCCAATTTCCTGTATAGTCTTTCTTGCCATTCTCTAACCTGGAAATGTGATGTCCAGGATCATGCACAATTCATCTAAGGTAGGCTAAGTAGATAGCTATAGTCACTTGACATCCCTTTACCTTAAACCTACGTTTCTTCTGAAGCAGCCCAAAACTGTCAGCTCTTGCAGAGAGCTGAAGAAACTTCTTGGATGAGAAGCAAAACGTTTTCAAAGACAAAAAAGAAAGTCCAGTTGCCTCATGAAAAAGCATCTTTGGGATGTCAGCTCTTGTAGCAGATGTCTCACCTGACTGACTTGCATTCAGCTTGTTGTCAGTTTTCACTCCCATGTCTTTGGATGTAGGGCTTCTAAGCTACGAACCCTCCAGTTTTCCAAACTATCCAGATTAGATTCTGACTGCAAATTTATTTATTTATTTATTTATTAATAAAATTTATATGCCGCCCAATCCCTAGGGACTCAGGGCGGCGTACAAAATTCAGTCATTCTCAGTGTCAGCCAAAGTTCTCATCAATCCCCTCATCCAGGTTATTCATATACATTTCATTTTGAAATTCACTTCCTGAACACTTAAAAACAGGTAGAAGAAATGTCAGTCTAGACAGATATCCAAAATTTGTTTTTTTAATCATCTTAGAATATTTTTATTCTGTTCCCAATTCAAATGCATACATACAATGTATTTTAATACCTTATTGTACTTGAAATATTATGAGCTTATTCTAAGATCTAATTGTTTATGCAGACATAAATTTCAGTATGTTGTTATGAAATCATACATTCCTTTTAATGTCATTACAACCCTAATGCTAATTTGAGAAATATTCCTTTTTTAAAAAAACACACACACTTACGTGACTTTTATGTGCTACACTTGGGAGATGTACATTTGAGAATCATAAAAGCTATCAATTTTATAGGAATGAGTTCCAAAAAGAATTTGTGCTCTGCTTAATGATTTTGCTTTCTTCTTCTAAACAGTTTGAAAATGAAATAATTTTAAAATTGGATCATGAGGTAGAAGGAGGTCGTGGAGATGAACAATATCTGCATTTGTTTGAGGCAATGTAAGTACAACAATGGAATATGTCCTTCAAATGTTTTATATTTTAAATTGGATATTTGTTTAAAATGTGTTTAAACTACTAAGATAAATGGATGGATGGATGGATGGGTGGGTGGATGGGTGGGTGGATGGGTGGGTGGATGGATGGACGGACAGACAGACATGATGGATGGAGCTACATACATTTTCAATCTTCAACTACTCTAATATTTCTATAGCCCACCAGGATTTATTAATCACATCTTATATATACTTTATATCCATAAAATGACCTAAATTTCCTTTAGAAATAATGACATAATATTTCTCCTCTAGCACTGCATCATTTATCCATAATCAAACAGTAGCAAAAATAACATTTGCCTGTGCTTTGCACACATAGAGATATTAAAAGAGAGCAGATAATGAAAAAAGTATACACCTGTAAAATTACAAACATATGCAAATCCAATGTTCTTCCAGATATCAACTTTCCAGAAGGAAAGTGACAGAAAACTCATCACAGAAATAAAACCCTGTCTCTATAGGTGGATTGCATCTCACTTTCTGGTTTAGTGTAATAAATCCTGTGCTTGCTACTGACTGTATCCAAAAGGCTGTCAGCTACTACCACCGAGACTAATTCAACTTTTGCCCTGAACAAAAATGAGAATGTGAGACAAGCTTTCCTTGAAGAAACCAAAGATATATCTCTTCCTGTTTCCCTTTGTATACCAATGGAAAGCCCACCTGCAAAACATATTGACATTAATGCCTGTATTTCCTAACAACTGGTGGTCAGAGATAGGTCACTTCCAATTCTGGAGATAATATATAGCTATCATTAATTGTAGTCATGGATACTCATCCTCCATGAAAATTGTTTCTTTCTCTTCGAAAGCCACTCAAATATATAGTCTTTACTGTGCAGTCTCACAGCTGCAAATTCCTTTATTTTAAATTGTGTGCTATGTAAAGATTATCTTACCTTTTTTTCCGAATCTCTCACAATTCAGCTAAATCATCCAGATTTAGAGACTGATCAATGGATAAGATGCTATTAAACAAACAATTGTGACTGGCTTTTGTTTTTAGAATAAATTGAATTTAGGTGAAACCAAAACAGTAAAAGCTTCATCAGACCCAGCAATTCCATCTGTGCAGCATTTGGGATTATATTAGAAAAGTATTAGTAAAATCTTTTCTTCTTTCCAATAAATAATATTTTGGAGGGCAACATTTTGATCTCAGAGGTACATTTTGGCAGGGAAAAAAATATTTGTTTTCTAACTATGATTAGTTGAGTGAGTATTTCCATATCAGCAATTTCAACTCCTAAAACTTGAATGCAGACAAAGTTATCTCTGTATGTTACTTTTTAATTCATAATACTAACAAGTATTAAAAAATACTTTCAATTTAATGCTCATACTACACACCCCTTGGCAAGACAAAAAGCTTTTATCCAAATCTATCAATCAACCAGCAGAATTAAAAACTGTTCCAGTTTTATCATGTATCTTCCATCATACAGTAGATCTGCTTGGGAAAATTAAAATATTTTCTAAAACAGATTTGGGATGTTTTTGAAGGGAAAGGTATTTTGTATAAATGGTTGGCTTTTTAATGTAACATTAAATATAACACAAATGGATTAAATCCAAGAGTATTAAACTCACATAACAACTGTTAGTTATCACATTGAAATGTACTAATGTTTATTTTTTTCCCCTAAACAATGGAACTGATGTTTGAAAACTACCCTGAGTACTAAAACCTACAATGTTCAAATGAAAGGAGGAATTAATACGGAATTAAACACAAGCCTCCACAGTGGGAGAGTTCTTTTGAGAGGCAGAAATTTTAGACAAGACATTAAATGGATCTGCGGAAAAATATTGCTTTGGAATGTATAAAACGATGATCATCTGCACTTTCAAAATTAGAGAGGGGCCTAGAAAATGCCACTGAAAGCATTGCAGTATTTCACCTTGACACTCCTCAGTGCTGTTCAATTGAATTGTTACATGAGATGGCAGAATCTAATGAAATTCAACACATTATAGATTCTCATCTATATTTTTATATCTGATAACTAACAGCCAGAGTGAATAATTGGTGGAAGCACTCCTGTTTTTTCCCCAAACATCCCAGAAGTAGAGTGCTTTTTGAAGAGAGAACATTTTGTAACATAGATGAAAAGTGTTAGGATCATGCAGCAGTATGAATTCAAATGAGAAGGTATAATTCTGAATACCTGTTGTACCTGTTACAACATCTGACAGATCTTGGTCTTACATGACTGCAGATCTAGGCAGCAGCATGTGTGATTGAAAGAGATGCCAACAGGTATAAAATAAGTATATCAACATATATTCTGATCCCCCTTTTTATTCCTTGGATCAGATCACTGTGTTGCCTTAAATAGTACCTTGTTGGTGTTTAAACAGATATTCAAAACAACAAATATTCAAAACAACCAAAAATTATGAAGTACGCATGCACTATTCTGCCTTGCTTTTTCCTTCATTCGATCACAAATTTGTAGTAACATTTTAGGCAAATGCTCATTGTTTTCTTTTACATTTTCAGACTCACTGAGTGCTCTTCAAGCTTTCCTAAGATTGCCAAGTCAGTTGAAATGTTTGTAAGCCTAATAAAAGGTCTTTTGGAAAAACTACTGGATTATCGTGCTGTAATGAATGATGAAAGCAAGGACAATCGTATGAGTTGCACTGTGAATTTGTTGGTATGTAGTACCTTAAAGATTTGCATAAAGTTCTAAAGTTTTTAATTTGGAGCAGTTTACAAAGTCTATAAGCCCATACTGCAGGGGTGTTCAACCTTGGCAACTTTAAGACTTTAATTCCCAGAATTCCCCAGCCAGCCAGTATTTTCCAAGGTTGGCCACCCCTGCCTTTCTGTATTGTAAAGCTGGACAATAGTAGCAACTATTATATGATATTATTATAGATAGTTTTATAGCAGGAAAGTGGAAACTGCAACCCACCATGTTTTCATTTATTTGGGAGGGAAACTCCAACAATGTAATCCAATTTTTATAATTTAAACTAGAAACAGAGATGTAACATTTGACATCATGCTATGGGTGTTTGGATGTATTCTCTTGTGTCACTTTTATTTTCTGGATTGCTGTTTTTAATGCTGTTTTCTGCCTGATGTTGGAGGCAGAATTTCAAGTGGACAGGCATGTAAATTGAATTAATTAAGTAATGAAATATACTTGGCACTTTTTGAATGTTCAGATTGATCTCACTAATTTTATTAACTTGCAACAGTTTTATAAGATTTGTGAAAATGATTGTCCTTATATTGTGGTTGAAAGGGAAGGCAGGATACCTGAGTGACTACATGAATGAGCTAAGTATTTCATGAGTAATGTACATCACAACTCACTGTTTATATACTTAGACCAGGGGTATCAAACTGCCGGCCCGTGAATCAGACGTGTCACGTGGAAGCTGTGCCCACCCCATTGCCAGCAATGGCAAAACTGTCCCGATATGTTGCGCAACGTCATATGATGTCACAAGTTTGTCTGACTTAGACCATCCTACATCTCCAGGGCCACAATAATCCTTATTTAATGCACATTCCTAAGAGAAATTGAGTTCCTCCAAGTCATTCTTTCATTCTCAGATGATCAAGATCTTCTCCACCATCTTTTCTGTTGCCAGGTAGAATATGTAATCCAGGCAGTCCTCAACTTGCCACAGTTCATTTAGTGACTATTCAAAGATACAACAACACTAAAAAAGTGACTTAGGACTATTTTTCATACTTACAACTATTGCAATATCCTCATGATCACGTGATCAAAATTCAGATGCTTGGCAACTAACTCATATTTATAATGGTTGCCATGTCCCAAGGTCATGTGATTCTCTTTTGTGACCTTGTGGCAGGCAAAGTCAATGAGGAAGCCAGAGACACATAATAGCCATGTTACTAACTTAACAACTGCAGTGATTCACTTTACAACTGCGGGAAGAAAGGTCGTAAAAATGGGGCAAAACTCACTTAACAAATGTGTCACTTAATGACAGAAATTTTGGGCTCAGTTATGCTCATAAGTCAAGGACTACCTGTATATGGTTTTAAGTGGAGAAGGGAGTAAAAGTCAGACACAGCCTGCTCAATATATTCTTGCTATATCAAGAAAAAGATTAAAGTTTTATCTCTTTTTTCACAAACAAAAACATTTTATTAAACTTGCTGTGATGAAAACCATTTTTTGCATTCATGCAAAACAGAGTATTTTTTAAAATCCTCATGACTGCTGTCAGTAATTTGCTGCTCTACCATGTGACTTTGATGATCATGAATTCTATCCACGCTGGTTTCAGTGGGCAGTAATGTATAAATAATGCATATTTATGTTAACATTAATTGAAAGCTTTGAGATTTTAAAAATGAAACAAAACAAAATTACTCCCTGAATAAGAAATTGTGCATATTTGAAGAATATTGTAAAAAGAATCATCCCAGTCATGTTTGAACACAGGACTAATCAAATTTTATTCATTTTTCCTCCCAGAATTTCTACAAGGAAATTAATCGTGAAGAAATGTATATAAGGTATAGTACTTGCTCTGTTGATTACGCTTATCACTGAAAAGATCAGTGTTGGGTTTTGGGGTTTTTTTGCATAATCTTCAGGATTGCACATGGAATTATAGTACATTATTATTCCAGAAATTTTGTTTTATGTTCTACAAAGGCTCAACACATATTTTTGTCAAAGTTGCTCATATACTTTAGTTTTGGGAGGAAAGCATGTAATTTAAATAAGGAGAATCTTAATTTAAAATTGGCAGATAAAGGACATATTGGCTATGATGAATTGAATAAAATCTATCATACATTTTGCAACAATTGTAGTCTTTCTTTTGGAATCAGATGAGAAATCAAATCTCTCTTTGTAGAAACAATATTTTTTAGCTTGTTCAGTTGAATGAGATTCTATGACAGGAGTTGTTTTTCTGGTCGATATAAAGCTATTCAGATAGAGAGATAGGGAATGAGAAATAAAAGCCTTTGCAGCAAAAAGCCTTTAAGTGAGCTGTATAAAATCACAGACTGAGATCAGCATCTTTGATTTATGTAACAAGTACAAATTTGACTTTCCAATTTTCAATTTATATTCAACATCTTTTGAACAAGTATATTAGAAGAGGCAGGTATGTTAAGCTGGATAGTAGTTAGAGTGAGACATCTTCAGAATGTCTTGTTGATCCAAATGAACCATAGTTTTATTTTTTATTTTTATTTACTTTCTTGTGCAATAATAATAAAAAATAAAAATCTTATGAATAAAAGCTGTATTCTAAATTTGTCTTTCTTTAAGATATTAGCTCTTAATAAACATGTTTTTGTATCTATGACATTTGTCTGTCTCAGTTATATACACATTCACATTTTCAGTTACATAATATATAATATTCTTATTCTATTATTTACTATACTATTTAATACAAATTATATGTATAAATATATTAGAGAATATATATTATATTTTATATAATTTTCATATCTTATCTTTTAATTGGGCAGCTATCAGGATATGGACAGTGCTGTACAGTGTGTGTGTGTGTGTGTGTGGGTGTGTGCATGTGTGTGTTTGTGTGTGTACCTTTTTTTCAGCTGGGAAAAATAAAACTTCAGCCCTTATATATGCAGAAGTCTTTTTCTCATTAGACAGCTTATAAAGTGCTACGATTTGAAAACCCCAGAATGTAAATCCTCTCTTATGAGGGAGGACAATGCATTTTTAACTTGACAATATAATCATGTTTTCAAACTTAACTTCAAAATCACAGAAACTGGAAGTATAATGACTGAATCAACCAAATGTGGAACATGGTTAATTCATGTGACTGATACTTCAATGCCTTATTACAGAGTCATATTTAAATTTTGGTATTGGTTCTCGTCATTCTAGTAGGGTAGAGTAGTAGAGATAGATCCATATTTTATGAATTTAAAATAATGCTGATATTAAAGACCTCTCTCTCTCTTTTGCTGCATCTATTAACAGGTATCTGTATAAACTTCGGGATCTTCATTTAGATTCTGAGAACTACACTGAAGCTGCATATACCCTTCTGCTGCATGCGTCACTTCTGAAGGTAAGTTGCTTATTTGCAGTTGAGGTCAAGTACTGGAAAGTCAAGAGTTGGAGGAAATTGTCTTTACACCAAATTGTGTTGCAGGAAATAATAAGTGATTGTATAGTTATGTATGTATTGATGGAATAGGGTGAACCTAGATTTGAACTAGTCTCCTACATGCAAATAATGAACTCCCTTTCACAACCGGTATCTATGCTATTATAAAGAGAAAAGTAGGAGGAAATCCGAATAAATCACACAAGTGCTTTCGTACACTGAGTCCCTAATCCAATCAAAACAGCATTTTGACATTTGGAGCAATAAACAATAAGTGAAAGTTCTTCAGGTGTTCCTAGGAGGAGAGAAATGAGGAGCAGGGGAAGAGGAATGCAACGGAGAAACCTCAGAACAGACCTAGCTGACTAGTTGGATACTGAACAGGGGCAATCACTCTTCAGTGATAAATTACACATATTTTCTAAGTAATAGATAAAAAAATCATAGTCCAGTCCAGAGGTAGAATTTAATAAATCATGTCAGTATTTTAATTATAATTTTGAGGTGTGTTGAATACTATATGGCCATATTTTTTTAAATCTTTGGGACAGTTAAGTAGGGATGAGCTTTCAGACAGAATGGCAAGGTCTAGATTTCTATTGTCTGATGTTTCTGGCATCTTCAGAAGATGAGTGAGCTGCTTTGTAGAGTACCACTCAATATCTCCCAAGCAGGAAGACTTGGCCTTACTGAGAAATTGTGGTGAGTTTATGAAAGAGTATGAAGTTCATTTTTCTCAAAACTTAGTTTAATCTGCCCTCTGAGAACCTGCTGCTTCATTAACTCTTCAAATTAACATTCACATTTCTGTGCATATAAAGCTACTGACATTTTCAAACTTTTACCTGCAAACGTGGCATCGGTGCATTTGTTAAACCATTAAATGCTTTTAAGAGGAAAGGAAGGGAAAATCAGTTGTTCTACGCTGTTATGGATATATTGGCTCTCTGTATGTGTGTATTTTAAAGCCTCTTATTTTCTTTGGTATTACCAAGTGACCTTGACTCGGGATTTCAATTTCAATTCCATGTTATTCTGGGGAAGTTACAGAGCTGAAAGAAGTTGGAGAGATGCCAGGATTTAAACTCAGCAGGCACTTTTCCCAGGAATAAAGTCTTCTTTCTGGGAGTAGAAGGCAGAGGGATCTTTCTTAGCAAATAAAGCAACAAAATGGATCAAGAAAAGTAAAGTGGTGACCTGGAAGTAGGGTTGAGACACTTTTATAGAAGAGAGAGTGTATAAGATTTGCACATTAAGTCAATCTTTTTTATGATACAAAATGGATTTTTGAGCACAGCATTAAGTAAGGAAAAAAACAAGACACCTTTGTGAGAATTGGATAGCCAGCATAACTGAGTTTTGAACACAATTATTCTTTCCTTAAATTGAATTTAAGGTCCAAAAGTTTCTATACTGAGATGGAGATGAAAATTACAATCTTCAGGCAAAAAGCAGGGCAATTTCTAATTTGGCATCTATGACATATAGAAAGCTCTAACTGTTCACTTGATGCATGACCAAAGTTTTTGAAGTCAGATTTGATAGCACCAATGGAAATAACTTTTAGTCCCGTGTATTTCAGGAGTCAAGGTATTATTTTTTTTAAAAAAAAACAACTCTTACATTTTGTAGCATTTGGAAAATGACAAAATGACAAAATGAAAATCAGACTGCTGCATATCAATGCAATCTGTGTGATATTTTGGTGGGTTTTATTTGTAAGTTTGGACAAAGAGCGATATGTCAAGAAATGAATGCATGTATGTGTATTTAAAGAGAAGAGTCTTAATGAGACAACTGTTTATACAGGTTCAAAAATAGAACTGCTATGCTTGGATCTAACTAAGGATAAATAAATGCCAGAAAGAAAAAGTCTAAAAAGTTATCTTGCATATTTATACAGTATTGTCACTGATTTGTACTACATGCATATTGAACCCAATTATGGCACCAATCTTTGATAACCTTTTAAAAAAAGCTAAAAACTTACAAATTTATTATGAGTATGTTTCTTCACAGTGGTCTGACGAACACTGTACTCCTCAAGTCATGCAAACAGAATTTCAAAGTTCACAAACACACCGTCATCTGAAAGAGCACCTATATGAGATGATAATAGAATATTTTGACAAAGGAAAGGTAATTTTATCTTCCTAATTCCTGCTGAGTAGTTTTGTGCCATGGGTTATAATGTCATTTCATCATCCAAAGCAGTAATGCCTAATATTGAGAAAAATATGTGTTCAGTAAATTACCGGGTGGTTGTGATCCTCATTATACTGCAGCATAGAATTTATGGAAGAATATTATTGTTATGCTATCTGTGACATTATTAAAATATTGCTATGAATCAGGCAATGCAGAAATTACATGGTGTAATGTGTTTTGGTCTTGTTTATTTTATTTTGTAAGAAGAAAGGCATGCAAGGTTTCAGATTAGGTTGAAATCATCAAAATAACTTAATAGATGTTTTTAGAAAATATTTGTATTTCCCAGGTAGGCACTAGCACTTAGTAGCAACTTCGGTTTGGTACTGCTGTTGTCATATCCATTTAACTTTAGAAGCATTGCAAAAGGACTTGTGGTTCGTGAAAGGTTGCCTCTAGAATATTTATAATATATTTGTGACATGAAGCCAAATTATAATTTGAATGATTAGCCTGCGATGAACAGAAGCACAACCTTTGTAGATATTACATGAGAGAAAAAGCATCATACTTGACTTAGAACAGGGTAAGGGGGCCTCTGTCTGCTTATTACTTGGATGGATAACATCTAGTCAATGTGGTGGGATTCAGCCAGTTCGCACTATTTGGCAGAACCGGTAGCTATTTTTTTGTTGCCCAGGCCCAGAAATGACTTCTGGAAGCAGCATCCACATAGAGAACCAGTTGTTCACATATTTGAATCCCACCACTGAGTAAATCCCATATCTGGGAGCTAGACTGGTGGCTGAAAAAAAACGCTCCAGAAGACAACATCAAATCATTTCCTCTGTTGCCAAAAACACACACACTGACATCTCTGTGAGATTACCAAAGTTAAGCTGAACTTGAAAAAGATTTTAGATTAACAACCTTGTACAGGTAGTCCTTGACTTACAATAAAATTCATTTAGTGACCATTTAAAGTTACAACAGCACTGAAAAAAGTGAGTTATGACTGTATTTCAAACTTACAACTGTTGCAGCATCCCTAAGGTCAGTGATCAAAATGCAGACCCTTGGCAGCTGACTCATATTTATGACAGTTGCAGTGTCCCAGGTTCATGTGATCATCTTTTGCGACCTTCTGACAAGTAAAATCAGTGGGAAAGCCCCAATTCACTTAACAACCATGTCACTAACTTAACAATTCCAGTGATTCACTTAACAACTAGGGCAAGAAAGGTTGTAAAATGGGGCAAAATGGGGAAGCCCAATTCACTTAACAACTGTATCAGTTACTTAAAAACTGCAATGATTCACTTAACAATTAGGGCAAGAAAGACTATAAAATGGGGCAGAATCCACTTGTTTTCCTTAGCAACAGAAATTTGGGGCTCGGTTGTGGTTCTAAACCAGGGGTGTCAAACTGCCAGCCTGCGGGCTGGATGCATCACAAGGAAACCGCGCCCACCCCATTGCTGGCAATGGGGGAAAAGTTCCGATACGTCACGCGATGTCACATGACATTGCGAGTTTGACATATCTGTTCTAAGCCAAAGACTACCTGTATAAAGTTAATGTAAATTAGTAGAGAGCTGGTTCATTGAACTTCATTGAGAATGCAAGTATCTGAGACAGTTACATTTCAATATATTTATATAAAATATGAGATGCATGGGTAAATTACTTACGTATTAAAATTAACAGCAAAGGTTGATTTATCCCTATATAGACATCTGCAAAACTGTGTAAATATCACAAAGTAGGGCTGTGCAAAATACGCAGAAGAAGCACTTCACAATTCACACTGGTATAAGCAAAGCACCCCTAACAGAGTTTAAGTGACAGTACAGGTCTTATAAAAAGCACCATTGTTTTCAGGCTTTCAGGAGAACTGCTTTCTTCTCAGCAATATGCTTTACATAGTCTTTTCTCAAAGTTTGTCTGGGCATATCTTCTCAAAGAGGTGTGAATGAAATATATTGAGGTTCTTCAATGTTCTTTCAGAAACCTAATATTATTGCAAAAATAAATCACAAGGCCTTAAATATATTCCCTCAGCATATATATTTCTGGTTACACAAATATTATTCTTCTGGAGTTCTAATGTAATATTTCAAAGCATATTGCATAATGAATAAAGATTGTCTGAGAGAGACAGGGGCAGACATTTAACCTGATAAATAAAGAATTCAATAAGCTTTTCTAAAGCTATGCAATTATATATCTAAATTTCCTGTTATGTTGCAGATGTGGGAAGAAGCAATAGGCTTGTGCAAAGAACTAGCAGAACAATATGAAATGGAAATTTTTGATTATGAACTTCTAAGCCAAAACTTGGTAAGAATGGAATTCTACAAAAATATTATGGATTTTTAGTTGTCTGTAGTTTCAAATTTATTTCTGAAACCTTTCTGTAATCCATGTCTAGGTTTTTTTATAAGTGGATATAATCTGGTCAAGAACAAGTTTTTGTTAAGGCTAGAAATCAGGAAGCTATGACTTCTACTGTTGTCTTTGACATAAAATCAGCTAGATGACTTTGGGCCAGTCACTGTCTCTCAGCCCTAAGAAGGAGGCAATGGCAAATTACTTCTGAAATTTAGCCAAGAAAACTGCAGGGACCATTCCAGTCAATCACAAGTAGTCAAATGTTGGCTCAAAGCACATATCTATATATCCAGTTTATCATTATTTCAGACAAATGAGTAAAAAAAAATTAAAATATTGAAGGTAAGTAAATCCAAATCAATAAAATAGATATTTTTGCCTTCTTTGCCTTGGCAAAAAAAAAATGATGTTCTGTAAGTTATAGGTTTGTATATTATGGCTCTGAGCTAAGAACTCAACATACAGTTGAGAAACTTAATGTCTCCAGAAGATCTGCTTTCCCACACTGTAAAGGACTGTAGGGGAAATAAATTGAAACTACATTCAGGCAAGAAATGTCAGGAGATACTCTGGAATGGGCTTTTACTCCCCTTTAAGGAACAAACTTGCAGTTTGGGATCTTCTGTTGTAGATAGCCTCATAGCAGCAGTGGAATCACTTATAATCAGTGTCAGTTGATAAGTGAGGCGCATACCTACTTGCTGTTTGAGACGTATGCTTGAGTAATTTGAAAGCTAGATTACTGCAATCGTTCATGGAATAGCCTAGAAGACAGTCCAGAAATTGCAGCTGGCCCAGCTGTAATTGCTTTCCAACCTAATTCAAAGATACTCACAATGATGTATGAAACCTTATAAACCATAGGCCCAAGATACTTACAGCATTACTACTCTCATCTCATATTTTTAATTCATCAACAGGATTACAGCTTTGGAAGTGAGAAGCTCAAAATATATTTATTTTCCAAGCTCATTTATTTTATTGTTTTTATAGATTGTTTTTACAGAATTCTGTAAGTTGCCCAGAACTACTAAGGGACTTGATTTTCTAAATACAATAAAAATGTCCAAAATTAGAACCATTGAATTGAGGTGGGAACTGTTTCATAATGAGTTGAAGTTCGTGCTGTTTTTCAAAAGAACAAGGAATGCTAATTCTATAAACTCCTTTATCATTTTGAAACATAAATGTAAATAAAAATGATTTTACCTCATGAAATAAAAATCAGTGTATTTCATTTTAAATTAAAGTTCCCATTCATTTTATAGACTTTTAAAATAGACTTTAGACTTGCACATTGTACTGACTTTTAAATTCACTGACATTTGCAAAATACAACATTGCCTCTATGTCCTTGATGGCCACTTTAGACAATTATTTCCTATGTTTAGCTTTATATCAAGCTATAGAACTTAGCACTGCAATTTGAAATTGGTCAAAGGATCATCACTTTGTATAAGATTCACACCATAAACTTTACCAAGTAGACCTTGCAATTGTCTACACAATAATTGTAATCCCATTTCAGTTATTTTAGCCTGACTGTGATACCTCATTCTCTCATTTGCAACTCTAGCCCAATGACACTAAATTGTTGCAAATTATATAATTTAAGATTTAATTGACATTTGAGGTGACACAGAATTATTTGTAAAACTGAGGTTTTGCTGTAGTAATTAATTTACAAATATTAATGAAAATGAGAAAAATCAGAATTACATATTTTAAATTATGGAAAAGTAATGAATTAAGGAGAATGTATGTGTCCCAAAATAATCTCAGAGGATCCAATCTAGGTCAGTCACCAGGACCAGAGGTTCAATCTTCCAAGCTTTTGGACTCATGCCAGTGTCCATCCTCAGGGAACTTCTCTTTCATGTAGATTTTGGAGAGAGAGAGAGAAGTTCCCAGGGGATGGGTTCCAGAATGAGTCTGAATGCCTGGAAGATTAAACCTCTGCTCCCAGAGACTGACCCAGATTGGATCCTATGGAAAGATAACCTTAGTGTCAGGAATTGATTGTAATACAATCCCAGAAAGACCTGTTACATCTCTTTTTCCTTTCAGATTCAGCAAGCCAAATTCTATGAAAACATCATGAAAATTCTGAGACCTAAACCAGATTACTTTGCGGTTGGATATTATGGCCAGGGTTTCCCCACATTCCTAAGGGTAAATTATCTACTCTGAATACTTTGTCTTTAACAAATTTCAAATTTGTAGTAGCCTTATAGAATGCCAATATTCTACTCATGGAAATGGAGTTATTCACAAATGGGGGCATTTGTCTTCATGAGGTTCTGCCAAGAAAAGAATTTCTGTCTTGCAGCTACCTAAAATGCCATTTGTAACAATATGGAGTGTCACGTTTTCAGAAAGGAGTTTTATTTATTGTGGAGGGTTTTTCCCTCTTGCTTTCAAGGTTAGAAGAAGGTTTATAGTGAGGGTAATGGAGTGATAAGGGAGCATTTAGGATTCTTACAAGACAGTCATAATTAAAGGATGGTTTATAGCTGAAGATAATTTAATGAACAATAAAACCAACAATACGAATAGCCAAGACAATGAAGCAGGAAATCTAATGAATTTTATATCTGGTGTATATTCATTTCTAATTGACAGCTCACAGGTGAAATTTCATTTGAAAGGCTCTCACATTTAGGTATCTTGACTATTCTCAGAAGTATTCTTATTGTTGGTAATTTTTACAATCTGGCAAAATAATCTTATACTTTTCTTTTCTTCGTCTCCAATATGCTTTTAAAGGAACAATAATAAGCAAAGAATTCAAGAATCAGTTTCCCTATAGAACTATATTAGATACCTTCTAGCAATCAACCAGGGTCAAGAAAATGTATTGAGGGACTAGTGGCAATTATATCACATTTTGGTCTTGTTGTTATTTTAGAAAAACAGCTTCCTCTCTTTTACTCCTCAGGAGGGACGTAACAGACGATTTAGTTGGGTATTATGGTCTTGATGTATTGAATTTCATATTTAATCCATCTTTCCAGCTTTTAAGAAGAACAGAATAAAAACATTATGATGTTATGTTATGTTTAACAATGATTTATTTTTCCTGGCAAGTTCACAACCAGGTTTGTAATCACATAGAGTGTTTATCCTTTTTTTAAAAAAAAAACAGAATAAAATATTCATTTACCGAGGCAAGGAATATGAGCGGAGGGAAGACTTTCAAGCACAACTGATGAGCCATTTCCCAAATGCTGAAAAAATGAATACTACTGCACCCCCTGAAGACAAACTGAAGAATGCTGCTGTTCAATGTATCCTTAAGCAGGGGATTTTAGTAAATAAACAAAAGCAATTTGAAGTAAAAACACTTATTCAAAATTTATGGGGAATATGAAAAATTCCTCTGATTTAAGCCACTTCACATGTTTACCTTTTAATTTATATATTGTTTTGCAAAATGAGTAGAACAAATGTATGATTCTGTTTCACAAGTTTGTCAAGAAAACAAGGCTTTGTGATGCTCTCGGTAATCATAAATTAACCTCTATGAAATATATAGGACCTTCTGCTTTGTTTGTGGGACCTTCTAAGTATATTTTCTTCTGGAACATACCGGTAAAAAGGCTGTATTAGCATTCTTACTTTTTTTTAGTCCTCGACCTATGCAGACAATTGAGCCCCAAATTTCTGTTGTTAAGTGAAATGTTTGTGAAGTGAGTTTTGCCCTATTTTTACGACTTTTCTTGTCACCGTTGTTAAGTGAATCATCGTGGTTGTTAAATCAGAGTTGTTAAGTGAATATGGCTTCCCCGTTGAATTTGGTTGACAGAAGGTCACAAAAAAGTGATCATATCACCGTGGCATACTGTATTGCAACAGTCATAAATACGAACCAGTTGTCAAGCATCTAAATTTTGATCACGTGACCATGGGGAACACTGCAACGGTTGTGTGAAAAATGGTGATCATCAGTCACTTTTTTCAATGCCATTTGAACAGTCAGTAAATGAACTGTTGTAAGCTGAGGATTACCTGTAGAGTTCTCCATTTCAAATGGCCACCAGGGCATACGTCCTACCTGTTTTCTTTATAGTTCCTTGCCTATTAAAATACTTGAGTTAGCCAACACTATAAAAATAATGCTTTCATAATATCCTAAAGAAAGTTGTGGATATCTGTATCCTGTATCATGATAGAGAAGCTTAAGCAGTGAAATACCTATTCAATCAAACTTCCCAAGAAATCAAAACTTCAAAGAAGTGCATTATTCTTAAAATAACCTCCAGAAATGAAAAAGACCTCTAGTTACATTCTAAAATCATCAAGGCCATCTTGCTAAACAACTTTAAATCATTAAGTAGCCAACTCCTCAGAGTCCTGGTTTGATCATACTGGCAGCTTTTATCCCAGAATTCACAGATAAGCCTGCCTGTATCAAATATCTGTATCAAATATCTATTTTTAAACAGCACTATGTATGGGTGATATTGAAGCTTTTCTCCCTTTATGTTGGAATGTTCAAGTTCACCTAAACATAATCTTGAATGCTCAGCAGATACAGAAAAATTGCCACGAAAGTATGATTTATACTGCTCAGGGTTTTTTTTTTTTAATTAGAAACACCGCTTGTTGGATTTGATTTTGTTGAAAACAATAGAAATCAATAAAAAATATTTTTCTGCATCTCTGAAAAGAGCAACCTATCATTTTAGTGAGGACATTAAAACATATAGTATGACATTTGAAGCAGTAAATTCCCTTTCTCTTTTTTACATGCAGATACTAAATACTGTCTAAATGCAAATGTTAACAAACACACTCTATGTCTCTGAATGTGTATTCTGCTTCAGAAGGAGGCAAATAAATCCACATCAGCAACACATCATCAAATTATTCATCATCACGTATTTTGGCTGAGCAGACAAGCTCAATTCAAGTAGTCCTCAACTTACAATCATTCATTTAATGACCATTTGAAGTTGCAACGGCACTGGAAAAAGTGATTTATGACCGTTTTTCACATTTATGACTATTGCAGCAACCCCATGGTCATGTGATCAAAACTGAGATGCTTGGCAACAGGTTCATATTTATGACGGCTGTAGTATCCCCTGGGTCATGTGATCACCTTGTGCAACCTTCTGACCAGCAAATGGGGGAAGCAGATTCCCTTAACAACCATGTTACTAAATTAACAACTGCAGAGATTTAATTAACAACAATGGCAAGAGAGATCGTAAAATGAGGCAAAACTCACTTAACAACTTCTCATTTAGCAACAGAAATATGTGGTTCAATTGCGGTCATAAGTTGAGGACTACCTGTATTACAAGATTAAGTTTCTAAACCCTGGAACCTTTGGCCCAAATTTTGGCTTTAGAACAGAGCCTTTCTGCATTGCAATTTATCATTGAGAACACAATAGAGATAATGAACAGGAAAGCCTATTTTCTTAAGGTTTCCATTACTTAATTTAGGTATCACATTTCTCAGTCTCTTCCTTAGTGAATCATGGGAAGATAGAGTTGGTAGTTAGATAGAGACTGGTAGTGTAAAAGTCTGCTGCAGATACTAATTGGCATTCGATTGATTCTAAGTCTCTGAGCTAAATGCTTGTCAGTTCTCTTATTGAAATTCGATAATAGGCAGAAGGCATTTATTCCTAATTTCCCTACAGTAATTATACATGATTATAGATCAGGTAGCAATGCTGGAGAAAGGTCATATACTTTCTAAGAGATCTGAAAAGGGTATCCTAGAGATGTTTCTGCTCTCATTGTATATCCTCATTGCTGTAAAACACAGTTTATTCTGCTTTAGCTTCTACTGTAGTCTACTGTAGTACAGAATAAATAATAGTCCAATGTTATTTATGTATCATTGGTAGGAATGTTCATCATCACTTGCCTCTGATATTTCTTTTTGTGGACTTGATGGGGAATTGAATTAAAGTCTTTTTCATTTAGACCCAACTAAGCAGCTATTAAGACTGGCTCAATAAGACAAGCACAACCATCACAGGCAGTGATTCCTCTCTTATGTACTTTTGATCCTCTGAAAAGCTGCTTTTCATCTCCCACATCATAAAGGAAAGCTTCTGAAGGAATGATAAAAGGTTATTGCTTCAAAACATAAACAGGACAGCTATAGATGAATCCTTTACACTGAAAACACTGCCCTCTTCTAAGGTTATATTCAACACTTCAGGGTGAACAAGACAACTGCAAATTCCTTTTCTCTATCACAACATGAACAGCTCTTGCTAATAATCTATTCCTGTTCGTGTCCATCTCACAGAAATATAGTGTACAAACTCCAAAGTGTCAGTTGAAATATTTGCACCATATAATTTTAGAGTGCATCTCTGTAAATCTGCAATAATGCATTTGAAGAATAAGATGTCTTAAAGCAGCAGCATAAGTTAAATCAGTCTTCTATGTGAAGACTGTGCCTCAGGGAAAACCAACTTTAAGCTCTTGTGATCTCATAATGAGAGCTAAGCTTCCAGCTTTACTGTAATATATTTGAAATCACACAAATCTCCTTTCTTTTTGGCTACTCTGTAGCTTTGGAGGGTATATGGATGGGCCAAATTCCTACTAGCAGGAACTCTTACAGTATTTCTTCCTAGTTTTTGGAGGATTCACATGTATATCATCTTGCTAAGATGCTCTTATTTCAGAGTTCCTTAAAATGTAACAAAGGAATAGTGCTTGGTTGGTTCTGCAGCTTCCTGTTTATAGCTCTTAAGTTTTTTTTAGATATTACTAGATATCATGCTCAAAACATGAAACAAGATCCGAATGGAATGGCATTAGTCAAAAGCAGTGTTTTGCACTTTCCAGTTGATCAGCTAGATATATTATTGACTGACTTGTTTTAAGTTCTCTGTATGTCAGTGATTGATGGCAGTGAATTGTGTGTCAGCTTCAAACTACTCTTAAACTACTCTTGGATTGGACACAGTAGTAATACCTTGGTTTGTAAACAGCCCAACCAAAGAACCACAAATACTACTCCTGCCAACACTGACAGGACAAGCCACTAGAATATAAAATGAGAGCAAAACTCACTCCCTACTAGCACTGATGATGTTACCTAATTTAGGTAATGAAAGGTCTGCACGATATCAACCAAGCTCAGAGAGCACCAAGGACTCCTCTTTTCAAACCTGAGCTAGGAAAAAACAAATATTTCCCTCTATCAATAATGTTCAATTTATTTGGAACATAGATTTAATCAACCAATTTGTTGTACACTTATTTTTTAAGCTGAATCATGAATTTTATTAATTATGTGATAATTTTATAAAAGACTGTTCTTAAACAATTTTTTTTGTTTCCAGATTATTGATTGTGTCCATTAATGGTATAATGTCCTTAGCTCTTGTGGTTTTAGATTTACAATGCTTCACTGTGCAGCCAGTTTTGGAGGAACATCCTCAATTCAAAAATAAGCCAGTGCCTGATCAAGTAATCAAGTAAGCCCTTATTATCTTATTGACCATGTAAAAATTCCTATAACACAAGTTATCAAAAGTCCTAAGTAGCTTCCATAAAAGTTGGAAAGTTTAATTTGCATTATGGCATTCAAATCAAGACAATTCTCCCTCTGGAATAACATATCATCCAAGATCTGACCCTGCTGGCCTTTCTCAAGATGCTGAAGACATGGACGTGCTCCAGAGCACAAAGGTCAGGAGGTTAGATGACCTGTGAGATGTTATTGTTGAGTGTTTATTGGATGTTTTCTCCAATAGTATTGTAGATTTTTATGCATTTGTTGATACTTTCTATATTGTTTTTGACCAGTGTTGAATGTATGAGATGGGTGTGGCCATATCAAGTAAGTTAATAAATAAAGTCAAATTTGAGTTGGAATGATCAGATAGGGGAAGTCATTCTCCAGACTTGTAAAAACAAGAACTATTGCCATAGCAGCCAGCAATTCTACAAGGGAAGAAGCCACATCAGCCGAATGAAACTTTGACAAGGTTTCTTCTTTATAAAATTTCACAATCCCCAGATTAAAAAAAAAATATCTACTGGGTACAATCAGTCTGTTTGCCAGGCACATATTAAATTAGCAGGGAAATAATAAAACAGCCTGACAGACTTAATGAGTTAAAATATAACTTTGATGATATTCTCAAGAATGGATTATCAAACCCGGAGCTTCCATTGTGGGAACAAATGAGAGGCCCTAGAGTCTATCCATCTTGAGAGGAAAAAAATTGTTTGTTGGTAGATGTTAGTCAATATTACATCGATCTATTTTATTGCAATGAGAATACTCCCTTTCTCTTGTACTGCTACAAGGACATAGAGAGTTTCAACTTGCATTATTTTGTTAATCAAAGATTAATAGATTTTATTTTACTAGTGGATAAACCAAAAGCATCCTCTTCTTTCTGCCTGCTAACATTTCCAATTGAAATGGTATCTGAAAGACAAGATAACTGTGTGTAATGAATAAAGGAGAAAGCAAGAGAAATAAGAAGGGATGATGCCCTTTGATATTACTGAAGCCTCTGCACTTTTGTCATGTAGTTCGGATGTTTTATTTGGGGGCTTAATTCTTAAAAGATAAGAAAGGAAAGATAGAGCCACTTTGTCTAGTGGTGAAGGCACCATGCTAGAAACCAGGAGACTGTTAGTTTTAGTTTTGCTTTAGGCATGAAAACCAGTTGGATGACTTTGGGCTACTCACTGTCTCTTAGTCCACTTCACAGAGTTGTTTTTCTGGGGAGAAGGAAGAAGAAAGGAGTATTAAGTAAGTTTGCTGCCTTGCGTTATTAATAAACATAATAAAGATGGGATTAACAAATCTTTTTTAAAGAAGGTAAAAGTGGTCCATGCACTTTTCTTTGACAAATAGCAATAGCACTTACATTTATATACCCCTCCCTAGTGCTTTACAGCACTCTCTGAGCGGCTTACAGAGTCAGCATATTGCCCCCAACCATCTGGGTCCTTATTTTACCAACCTCAGAAGGATGAAAAGCTAAGCCAACCTTGAGCTGGTCAGGATCGAACTCCTAGCTATGGGCAGAGTCAGTCTGCAGTACTGCATTCTAACTACTGTGCCTCCACAGCTCCTAACTAAATGTGTTTTGCTGTTATATCTTTGTAGGGTTTTATTTTATTTCACAAAATAGCTCAGATTTGCTGGCTTTCCTGGTGTTCTCCCATTTAAATGTTAACCATGCCTAACGCCTACTTGGCTTTTTCAAGATCAGCCATGGTTGATATATCCTGTCACATTTGTGATTTGTAGGAAATTACAGTTTTAAAACATTGTTTTTAAGAGCAACATGTTTTGATTACAATCAGCTCTGATTTATCAACTTGTGAAGAATGGCTAAAGTTTACTTCAAATGAAACTTTAGATACTGGAGAATCAATAAGTGACATCTTTGTTCTCCCAAGTTTTCTTTTTAATATTCTTCGTCTGTAAGGAACTTTTAAAATTGGCAGCATAAAGCATTTTTCCACCTGCATCTGCAAGCTAATGAAAAGGCTCTTCTACCATGAGACGCACAAATTACCAGCCTAATAGAAGGCACCTTGAAAGCACACACCGTTCATGTCTTTGTAACTGTCCTTCCATATGTCATGTTGTCACTACTTAAATGTATTTTCCCCCCATCATTAAGGATAAAACGGTTGGTGTACCACCAATCTAACTAATGTTGCCAAATGTAGCTGATTGAAGGGAATGATAATTCAGATGTAATGCAATAGCTGTCATGTGTTTGAACAGACCTTTTCAATTTAAGATTCCACAGTCATTTGTGTGAAAATGGGAAGGTGGCAAGCCATGTTAACTATGGAGAAGCGCTTGTTAACGATAAAGCTGGCAGGATTGAGGGATCATTTCTTCCATCATTGGACTAGTTCCAACCTTCCTTTTTCTTTTTGACAGACTGTTGTCACTATATCATTTGGGTTCTTGTCTCTTTTCTTCTTGCCATGTTATCTTGAATAATCATTGACCCACTCATTTCTGTCTTCTGCTACATTAAGCCTATTGCCTTCGGCAATGTCTTTAAGAGAGTTTCTTTTCTGTTGATCAGAGGTCAAAAGTGAATACATATCATCAAAATTAGATATAAACTCTCCAGTAGGAAAAAAATAAAGCTATCTCCTTATTTCAATTATGCATGTTTGTGCATATGTGTAGCTGTATGTGTGTGTTTATCTCTGTGTATGAATAGGTCAACGAATGCATAGCTACACCCAAGCAGTGTTTTCATTCCTTAACTTTTGTTCTTTAAATCCTGTTGAGTATGTCATTGCATTACTACATTGTATGATACATACCCCACAATTGGAGGGTTGGGGACATGCATGGGAGTTTCTAGATTAGAAATCCTTACATTAATTTTCATTAGATTCTTTTCCAAGAATTTTTTTCTTATTCTTCACAAACTATAGGTATTTTATGGCTTCTTGCTTTTTTGAATCTATAGATTGCTATACTGTAAATGGAGTTGTCACAATAACAGGTGATCTTATTAGGTCTGCAAAGTAGTTGAAATATTACATGTATCAGCAGGGAAAATATCATCTGCTTCAGACCATTTATAGCTTTCTGTAAAATGAAGTGTTTTATGTGAGCCTATATAAAGTGAAAAGGGTGAATGTTGATAAATTAGCCACAGTAAGAAGCAGCATCTGTAGAATTAGACTTCTACAGATTGTTATTTAGAATGCTTGGAAGGGGTTCCATGTTTCTTTGACCTTTGGAAACAATGGTGGCTGCCATTGATTTTCATGAAATACCCGGATAAGTATCACCCTTTATTTTTCCCAATTTAAAACTGTTAAAAATATTATAGTCTTAAAAAAAATAGCTTGATCTTGCATTTGAGACAGCAGAACCTCTGTGCTCATTGTTCCTATTCACTGTAGATCTGGAAGCAATTTTCCATGTTCTCCGTGTAATAGTGATATGAGATGGTAACAGACTAAGAATTAGACAACACACTCTGCAGGGAAGTAGTTTCAGAGAAGCTTGATCTATCTTTTATACTATACTACCACTCTCTGGCCAACCAGTTTTTACACAGAAGTAGTCTTCACTTAGTGACCACAACTGAGACTGACAATTGGGTCATTAAGCAAGATGGATGCTAAGTGAAACTGTGACAGCTTATGATCTTTTGTTTTATGATCCTTCATTTTACAAACTTGTGAAAATTGTAAATGGAAGGATTGTTCACGAAGTTACTTTTTCGGCACTGCTGTAACTGCAAATAGTGGTTAAACAGGGTGTTTGTTAAACAAGGACTATATTTTTAAACATAGGTATACTATTTCTTGGTAGTATAAAGAGTGAATTTGGGGAGAAAATAGACAAGGAAGGAAAAGAAGAAAGTGAAAGAAATAAGAATAAAAGTGATATAATTAGAAGAGGGCCAGGTGTGAGTCTTGAATGAAAATATATGAAATAATTTTTCTAGAAAATGAATATAAAGTGCACATAATTCTATATGATGTTAAAATGACATAAAAAATGAAAAGAAGTACCACAATAGTGGGAAGTATGAAAAAGAATGTTTAATAGAAAAATGACAAAAAAGACGTGTGACATCATATAAGAGAATAATGACAGAAAAATATGCATACTGAACAGAAAAGATAGTTGCAAAGCATTTAGTCAAAGAGAGTAAGGAATGATTAAGATTAAAAGGTTTGTTGCAAGAAAAGAATGGTTGTCAAAATAAGTGAAAATGTCTGAGTGTAAAATGATTCTTTTGCCCACTTTATTATATGAAAATAAGACTTTGGTATATCAAGAAAAGTTCGGATGCAGTGAGAATGGTATGTTTAATATTTAAGCATTGTAAAATAAGAAACTATAATGAACTGGCAATTAATGAATGTTGATTGACTTTCTGAATTACTACAATGTGTGCCCTACATAGGTCTGTCCTTGAAGATTGCTCAGAAGCTATAGGTACACAGGGAATGGTAGCAAGATCATTACTTTTTACATAGTTTTAGTGTTTTTTATTGCTTTATAGTGGATTATAGCCTGCCATAAGTTGTTACAGACAGATTTCATAAATATTTAAAATTTATAAACCAAATAAAGGAAACCCTTTTCAAATAGCTATTCCATTGTGATTTTTCAAAGTGAGCCTCTTCTTTTTTGAGTTTTCCTCAAGTGGAACTTTCCATTTCTCCATTTTGCACACACAATGCTGATCTAAAGCCCAAAGGCATCTATATGTGCACAGCCCTCATATTAACTGAATTTTAAATGCTACCTGGTATCAATTTATAATTTGCAATAGTTTGCACTATTCAAGCTAACATTAATCGGGACCTATCTGTAGTCACAACCAAGCCAAGGCCCATTGCTAAGTCATAGCATAATCAACCTCTGAAAGGCAAAGATTCATTATAGCTTGAAAGATATGGAGGATGATACTTATAGATTGGATATTTTTCCCCATTTCTTATTTATCTGTGGAATGTAGAAATATTCTAAGTGTGATCAAAACTAGCCCCGCTTCCATATATCTATATGTTTTTGATATATGGTCACATTGTGATAATTTCTTCAGACTACTAGATACCAATGGCATCCTGAAAAGGCACACTTTCCAATCAGGTTTAGACATACTTAATAATGTACAGTGTAATGCTTTGAATACAATGAAGACATTTGAGATAAAAGTGGATAGCGTATATTGAGACTAAATAAATGAAGTTAAATTGAATTTTCATATGGAAAAAGTAAAAAAGGTTTGTAATCTCTATCTCTCTCTCTCCCTCCCTCCCTCCCTCCCCCCCCCTCTCTCTCTCTCAGTTTTTATAAATCTAACTATGTGCAAAGATTCCACTATTCAAGACCAACCAGAAAAGGATCAGTTGACCCTGAAAATGAATTTGCTGTAAGTATCTTTTCACGTTTTGAACACCGCCATGTTATCTGTCACTCAGATGTGACACAAGGCATTGCTCAGGTGATGCTACATACTTTATTAGAAGGCAGAAGAGGTACAAAATGCCATAGAAGCATCATTGGGCTGGACAGGCAGGGTATAAAATTACTCAGGCTTTCCCCATAGTTTCATCTGGTATCAACAGAATGATTTCTGTCAGGGCTGACTCTCATGAATTTCAAGAATGTCATATATTTGGGGTATACAGTAGTGGCCAAAATTGTGGAAAAGTGTACAGTAGAAATGCCACCTTTGGTTAAGTTTCCATCCATTTTTCTTCTAATTTCTTTATAACTGTAGCCTTGTTCACTTAATAATACTATTTACATCGCTCTCTGGGCAACCAGTCAACTCTTTGCACCATTACTTTAATTTTATTATGTTTTACAAGCTCACTAAATGAAAGGAAAAAAAGACCCAGCCAACTTGATAGCAATCACATAACACACTGACAAATGTCCTCCTCTCAACTGCAATACATGACATCCATAACTGAATCCTATTGTGATCTGATTGGCTCATTGCCAAAACAAGATGACACCTGATTGGCTCTCTAAACACTCATGCTCATTGGCTACAATCAGATGAAGGAAAGCTACCTGATATCAACCTAAGCAAGTTGTGCTTCCTTTTTCTGGTTATTTGGCTATAACTTTTCATAGAATACAGTACATATAATTGAACAAACTTTGTTGTATTACATTCTTGATTAAATTATCTTTCCATTGATATATAATTTTATGGTACTACTCCAAAACAAGTGGTGTTATTAGCCATCAAACCTCAAAAATACACTTTTCCCAAAAGATTGCCACAATTTTGGCCATTACTGTAGTTACATAATAAGCCCAATGGAATAACAAATGATAGGTTGGTTATCAAACAACATTTTTAAAAATATTTCAGATCATTCTAGTTTAAGTCAAGTTATCGGTGATCTTTGGCATACCATTCCGTCAGTATTTCAGTCTTGTCCCTTCCCTCCCACTGTTTGTGTGTGTGTGTGTGTGTGTGTGTGTGTGTGTGGTTGTGCTGGTGGAACACAGTGTTGCAGACTGTATTAAAGTATTCTGGTTTGTAAAAGAAATGGTGAAATCATCCATCTCTCCCTCCCTCCCTCTCTCCCCCCCTCTCAAATAATATTGATGCCGGGAAAAGATTTCCCTGTCATTTAAATTATATTTCCAGTAAGCTCTTATCTTTCTAACAAAATGATTTAACTGTTGTAATATTTCTTCTCTGCATCTTTTAACAGTCTATGTGGATTGAGAGAACATCCTTTACTACAGCTTATAAACTCCCTGGAATCTTGCGTTGGTTTGAGGTTGTGTCCATGTCACAGGTGTGTATTAGAATTCTGATGAGTATTATATGTAGTTTAACCTCCAGAAATAGAAAGAAAGAGTCAATGCTATTTTATGAGGGAAAAAAAAAACCACAAGGTTATTATGTTACCAGGGAATCCATTCTCCTACTAAGCAATATGGTTCAATATGCATTTGACTTTTTTGAGATTGGGGAATTTTAATGAAATGCTAACACATTTCATAATGATTGAAAGTTGTCTCAGATCCCAATGCAGCCAATCTGGGACACAAACTTGCAGGTGGGATTGATGATAATCTTGTTGCCTCCTCCACAGGCTACAATTAGCCCCTTGGAGAATGCCATTGAAACAATGTCCATGACAAATGAGAAGATTCTGGCAATGATCAATCAGTACCAAAGTGATGAGAACCTTCCCATTAATCCTTTGTCCATGCTTCTGAACGGAATTGTTGATCCAGCAGTCATGGGAGGGTTTGCTAAGTACGAGAAGGTAAGGAGTTAGGCTATTGTATTTAAAATGAAATAATCCTCCAGTATATTAGATCTTCAGCACAACCCATGAATGTCATGTTCAGATGAAAAACTGAGTGACCTCTTTTCTGCTTGCAGGCTTTCTTCACAGATGAATATACTAGGGATCACCCAGAGGATCAGGAGAAACTAAACAGGCTCAAAGACCTGATTGCTTGGCAGGTATTGAAATGCTGGGCACAATTCTCTGATTTTTTTAAAAAATAAATATTATTAATTTCTCCCTTTTCTTTTGCTGATTGATCTCCTTTCCAGAGGAGAAGCACAGCAATATATAATGCATGCCTATTTTCCTTCTGTTTTCCTTTGTTTGTTTGTTTGTTTGAAGAGGAATACTTGTCGGAAGTGTGACTGGAAATATCACATAAAAAGTATGTTGCAAAAAGTTTTTCATCCACATTTAATGAGCCTCCTTTCATGAACAAAAGCATCAGGAATCCCTTGGTGATTTAGTTGAATACTTACTTCCTAGAAATGCTTATGTAATGTTAAGAAGGGGAAAAAAGCTGACATCACAGTATTTCTGTTGCTGTCAGATAAACAGGAAACAAGTGAAAACACTGATTTTGCATAGGCTTGGAATGATGTTTAATTTTCTGCTATTAACAGTTTCACCAGGCTTGGGTGAAAACAACCTATTAACACTCTGATCTAAAAATATCACTTCTATTTTTATGTTCTTGCTGAAGTACCAAACGTAGCAACTTTATGAGAGATGTAGCATAATAGTTGTTGAGTCCGTGGCAGGAAACAGACACGAGAAGCAGCTGGAGTTCTCAGTTTCTTTTATTCAGCGTTCAGCTTACAGGAAGATGGCTTCAGCCTCGCCCACACGCCTTGCAGCCTCTTATATAGGCAACTCCCGGGTAAATGGGTTACTTTTCCCGCGCCAGCACCCGCGCATGCGCACGGCGCTGGCGACAGCCTGTCTGGTCCCGGGCAGCTTTGCACCTGCCCGGGACTGCCTGCAAACGCCCGAGCCGTTTGCAAGGCTCGGGACATAACACCCCTTTCCCCCGGGCTAAAACTACTACCAACATACAACATTTATTTTATACGACAATTTGCTCCCCAGTGCTCCCACTGTTTACTGGCTTTTGCCTTGCCAGCAATGTTATGTAATCTTCTAGGTACTTAGGAGATTTCTTTGCTCTCTGTGACCTTCTTAGCTCTGGGTTACTGGCATAAGTCCCCTGACTGGAGGGAGGCGTGAGCCTGTTCTCTCTATTGTGCCCTGGTGTCTTCCAAGGACTGTGCCCCGATGCCTGGCCTGCTTGCTTGCCCACCGGGCTCGTCAGGCCAGGGCTTCTGTTGCTTTGTGACCTGGTTGTCCTACCTAGCTGTAGACCCTCAGGCCCCTTGAAGTGATAGCCACTGCTGGGCGTCTCTGTAGAACCTCCTAGGTCAGTCCAAGACCTGTCAGGAGGCTGTCCATTCCCTGAACCCCATTCTGTGCTCGGGCTCGTGTGGGTTTCTGTACTTTCCCAAAACTCAGGTGTTCCCTGATTTGTGCTAGGGGTGTTGTAGTCGGGACTTGGTTCCTCGACTAGCTCTGTGTATGTTTGACCCCCTGTAGGATTTGGGGTAAGGTCAGGCCAACCTTGGGAATTGTGTGCCAGCTCTCTTGCGGGGAATGATTTGTTGGGATGCCCCCGGGTATCCTCCGTTGCTGGAGTGCTGTGTGATGTGTGTGGAAAGTGAGTATGCCCCCGGGGTGACTCCCTGGCTGGAGTAGGCGTGAGTGCCTGTTGTGTGGGTAAGCTCCATGACTTTCTTTTCGGAGCAATTGCGGAATCTTGGGATGGGCCATTTGTGGCTCCCTCAGTGGAGATGGGCAGTAGCTCTTGCCCTTCCCTTTGCTCCAAAGGGTCCCCCTCCCCCCTGGAAAAGACCCAGGAGTCTCATCAGAAAAGTCCCGCCTAGAGCGGAGTTGGTCGATGTGCCGACGCAGGACACGACCGTTGTCCAGGGCTACCTCGTAGGAGAGAGGACCTGTGACCCTGGAAACAGAAGCGGGGACCCATGTATGACCAGGCCCGTAATTGCGAGCCCAAACCGGGGCACCCACAAGTAGTTGTCTAGGTGCCCTAGGATGTGAGGTAGATGAAGGCAGTCTGTCCGGATGCAACCGGTCAAGTCTAGTAGTAAGTTGGCGCCCCCAACGAAGTTCAGCTGGACTTCTCCCTGTAGAAGTGGACGGTGTGGTGCGATAAGAAAGGAGAAAGTCAGCCAACCTGTGATGCCAGTCCCCGTAGGTGAGTCTCTTCAAGGCGTCCTTTGAGATGCGCACCATGCATTCAGCCATACCGTTGGTGGACGGGGGAAAAGGCGCAGACGTGGCATGACGAATCAGGTTTGCCTGTAAGAAAGCTTGGAATTCGGAGGAGGTGAATTGAGGGCCGTTGTCGGACACAATGACATCTGGCAGCCCGTGTGCAGCAAAAATCCCCCTCAGTACCTGAATAGTCTTTGCAGTGGTGGTGGATGAGACAGGCACAACCTCAAGCCATTTTGAATGGCTGTCAACAAGGACCAAGAAGAACTGGCCCTGAAAGGGCCCAGCGTAGTCAATGTGCACCCTAGACCATGGGGACTGTGTTTCCTCCCATCTATGCACAGGAGCTTGGGGCATCTCTGGGCGAGATCGTTGGCACAGGTGGCATGCGTGTACCTTAGCCTCAATACCTTTATCTAAACCAGGCCACCACAAGTGGCTTCGTGCAAGAGCCTTCATACGAACAATGCCAGGATGACCCTCGTGGAGGGATTCTAAGACCCTAGTCCTCATTGAGGTGGGAATGACAACTCTGTTTCCCCAAAGCAGACAACCCTGAGAAAGGGACAGTTCGTTCCTTTTGGACCAGAAACTCTGAAACTCAGGACTAGGGCAGTGCTCAGGCCACCCGGACAGGACCCAGGAGCGGACACGTGAAAGTGTGTGATCTGTACCTGTTTCAGCGGTAACATCCCTGGCACTAAGAGGGAGCTCGGGCAAGGCTTGGATTGATAGAATGTTGACAGCTGGCGCGGGGTCAGCTTCTACTACTGGCAGAGGCAACCTACTGAGGCCATCAGCATGGCCCATTTCTTTCCCAGGCTTGTGGATTAATGAAAAATCATATGCAGACAAAAAAATAGACCACCTAAGCATTCTAGGGGAAATGATGTGGGGAGTCTGCTTACGTGTGGTAAACAGTCCCAGCAGAGGCTTATGGTCAGTGAAGACCGTGAAATGCCTGCCATATAGAAAATCGTGGAATTTTTTAATTCCAGCAACAACAGCCAGAGCCTCCCTGTCTATCTGAGCGTAGTTGCGCTCGGCAGAAGACAGTGTTCTGGAGTAGTATGCAATAGGAACCTGAGTTCCATCAGACCTGAGGTGACTCAGGACAGCTCCAACCCCGTAGGGGGACGCATCACAAGCGATGCACACAGGAAGAGACTCGTTGAAATGTGCAAGAACACTGTTAGAAGTGAGCAAGGCCTTGACTTCTTTAAAGCAAGCCTCATGTGCTTGTGACCACAGCCACACAGCTTGTTTGTCTAGTAGCCTGTGAAGAGGCTCAGCTACACTAGCTTTATGTGGAAGAAAAGAATTGTAGAAATTCAGGAGGCCTAAGAAGGCCTGAAGTTCGGCCTTAGACTTTGGCCTGGGTGCTTCTAAAATAGCAGTTAGTTTGGATTCAGCAGGATGAATCCCAGCAGCATCAATTTTGAATCCCAGAAATTCAGTAGAAGGCACCCCAATCTTGCATTTGTCTTTTCTGAGCTTGAGGCCTGATTTCCTGAATCTTAACAGGACAGCCCTAAGCCTTTCAGCTAGAATGTGTGTGGAGTCTCCTGCAATCAAGACATCGTCAAAGTAGGGGCAGACCCCTGGTATACCTCGTAGTGTGTTTTCCATTACGCTTTGGAAAATCCCAGGAGCAACATTCACTCCAAACTGTAGCCTTTTTACCTTAAAGGCTCCCCTGTGGGTCACAATGGTCTGAGCTATGGCAGCATCATCATCAACAGGCAGCTGTTGATATGCTTGAGCTAGGTCAAGCTTTGCAAAAACACGCCCCCCCTTGAGAGAGGCCAGGATGTGACTGACCACAGGAACAGGATAGGCATGTTGCTGCAATGCCTTATTGAGTGTGCATTTGTAATCAGCACAAATGCGAATGTCCCCATTTGCCTTTAGAGGCGTGACAATGGGGGTCTCCCACGGGCTGGAATCAACAGGTTCTAGGATTCCCTGTTGGATTAGTTTGTCTAATTCAGTGTCAATCTTACTTTTTAAAGCAAAAGGGACCCTTCTTGCTTTAATCCTAATGGGAGTGACAGTGGGGTCTAGCTTTAAGGACACAGGTGGTCCTTTGAATGTGCCCAGCTGGGGGCTGAAAACATCTGCAAATTCTTTGCAGACTTCCTGTAGGTCGAGTGTTTGTAAGCTGTTGAGTCCTGTGACGTGTATCCCCAGGGCCTCAAACCAATCGAGTCCTATGAGACTCGTTCGTTCACCCCCTACTACTAATAAGTCTAGTGGACCTTCAAAACTCTTGTATTGCACGTTAAGGGTGGCCTCCCCCTTAACACACACTCTTGAGTTCTGAAAATCTGTTAATACAATATCAGAAGGCCTTAACTTGGCCTTAGTCCCACTACTGGAACAAATCTTCCTAAATGTATGCAATGAAATGATGGAAAGGGCAGACCCTGTGTCTAGTTCCATAGATAATGGAACCCCTTGTAGCTTCACGTTGAGTGACAGCTTTTTCTTCATGGGCTTGTGTGTGCCTGTCCTACAGATGCTTCTTCGCGAAGCGCAAAAACCTACCCTATTCTGGCTGGGGAGTCTGGTACCCTTCAGGCGTTCTTCTTGGGGTTGTGCCTTTCGTCGGGCCAGACACACAGCTGCAATGTGCCCTTGTTTGCCGCATGCCCGGCAGGTAGCGGAGCGGAACTTGCAGTCGGTTCTCCTGTGGCGACCTCCACAGCCGATGCACTTGAGCGGAGCCGAAGAGCTTTCCTTCTGGTTCTCTTCCTTCGCGGGGTGTAGACGGTCGACTTCTTCGTCCGGATCCTCCTCGGAGTTTCGTCGGACGTCTTCCTGGTGCACGGACGCACCCTCTGCACTGCTTCTGATCGGCCGCATGTTCTTGACGGCGCCGTTTGCTGCTTCTTCTGCGGTGACTTCCCTTAAGGCGTCTTGGAAGGATAATTCTTCCTTAGCGAAAAGTCTCTGTTGTAGCTCTCGATGCCTTAACCCGCACACGAATCGGTCCCTCAGTCGTTCCTCGAGGTCCTTGAACTCGCAGGGCTTGGCGGCCTTCCGTAACGCAGCGATGTATTCCTTGGCTGACTCACCGGACCGTTGATCCCTCTGTTCGAAGGTGTGGCGCCATGAGATAACGGACACCTTGGGGTGGAAGTGCTCCTTCAGCAGCTTCTTCAGGTCTGCGTAGCTTACAGACTCTACTGGATAAGGTGCTGCAAGGTTTTCTGCGATTTCGAAGGCGTCTTGGCCGCAAACGCAAAGCAGGGTGGCAGCCTTCAAGCTATCTTCCCTCACTTGGTTTGCCTTGAAGTAGTTCTCTATTCTGGATACGTAGGACTCCCACCGCTCTGGATGTGAGACATCGAATTCCGAAAGCCTTCCGATTTTCGCCATCTTCGGATCTTCAGGAGACGGGTCTATCAGCCAGCCTACCCCCGAATGTGCACCGGATTGGCGGGCAGCTGCCGAGTCGACGCCGTTCCTCTTCCGCCGCTCAGGACTCCTTGGGTAAGCTTACACTTCTTCCTTTCCAGGTAGTGCAAGGCATCCCACCTTCGTCGCCAGTGTTGAGTCCGTGGCGGGAAAACAGACACGAGAAGCAGCTGGAGTTCTCAGTTTCTTTTATTCAGTGTTCAGCTTACAGGAAGATGGCTTCAGCCTCGCCCAAACGCCTCGCAGCCTCTTATATAGGCAACTCCCGGGTAAATGGGTTACTTTTCCCGCACCAGCACCCGCGCATGCGCACGGCGCTGGCGACAGCCTGTCTGGTCCCGGGCAGCTTTGCACCTGCCCGGGACTGCCTGCAAACGCCCGAGCCGTTTGCAAGGCTCGGGACATAACAATAGCAATGCTTTATTTTTTCCATAGACTAATCTATTTTTTGCTTCTAGTTTGTTTATGGATAAGTCACCCACATTATCAGTATCTTCCTTCTTCTACTGACATTTGAATCAGTAGAAATAGCTACTGTTTGCTGTGGAAATAGCTACTAAAAATATATGCAAACAAATGTTTAATCTTGGTGTTATGAAGTAAGTCCTTCATTTACATGTTTGTATATATTTTATATCAGCTCCATAGTTGTTTTCATAAACATCTTTGCACAAACTTCTTTGGTGCATAATAGCACCAGCTTTTGTCACATCTTCACACCCACAATATACATCTAGATTGCATTCAGAAGACATCACTTTTAATGGTGGTGTCCAGTGCTATCTAAAATACTAGAAATTTAGAACTTCAGATTGTTCTGATAACTCTGAATCATTATTAAAGAAAGTTACCTAGTGCAAACAATCAACCTTTAAACAAGAAAATATATTTGTCCATTAGCGTAGTCCTGTTTTTCATGTACCAAAAGAGGAATTACATAAGAAACATGAAGATTCACCATCTTTCTGGACAGAACAGGTGAAGTACTATATTGGGGAAATATCTGCACTGTGCCACTTCTTTGAAAAGCAGGAGACAAAGCAATTCATGAGTATTGGAAGGGATGGAAAGTCCCTGGCTTTCATAAAATCTGTGTAATGCAGGGGTATCAAACTGCTGGCCTGCGGGCCGGACACGTCATCCAGAAACTGCGCCCACCCCATTGCCGGCAATGGCAAAACTATCCCGATACTTTGCATGATGTCACATGACATCGTGAGTTTGACATGCCTGGTGTAATGTGTAACCGCCTCACAATTTTAGTACGAGGGGATGTCACAAAATGGTGTGCTCAAGATGATGTGAAATGCGTATCTCTGATTTTTGACAAATGATTTTTGACAACTGACAAGAGCTCTAAACTCTTGGGAACTAAGTATAGGCCTGAGGCCATAAACTATTACCCATGAGTTTAGAAGACATATCTATCATTACTGATTGAACGATTACTAATATGCTCCGTCAAGTTATTGTTAACTCTTAGCAGTAACACAGATAAACCAGTCTCCAATCTGACCTTTCAGGTCTTCCACAGCTCTAATCAAAAATCTAATCTAATCTAATCCAAAACTCTAGTTGTTGGTAATCTACTTCTTCCTCTTACTTCCTTACTCCTTTTTCCAGCATGTGGATTTCTCAAGAGAACTAGGTCATTACATACTGTGTACAAAATGTGATAATTTGAGTCTGGTTGTTTTGTGCCTCACATGACAATTCTGGATTGATTCATTGTATAATTTCTTTGTTTTCTTAGCTACCTTAGTCAACTCTACACCAGAGTTCAAAAGTGCTAATGCTCTTTCTAGCTTGTCTCTTCAAAGTACAATTTTTACTTTCCTAGAGTGCCACAGGGAAAACCATTGAGTGCACAGTTCTAATATTTGTAGGCATAGATACATGATGGCATCTGAATATTTTTGCCAAGTCTTTTACTGCTACTCCATTAAATGAGAGTATGCAGCATGTTTCTTGACTGATGTTTTCTTTATGTATTATTGTTAGTTTATTCTAAAAGACAGAAATTATCCACCACTTGAATATTTATATTATAAATAGGTATTTGCTGTACCTATTATTTAGTCTTATTTATATTTAATTTTAATCCCATTTCTTCACATTGCTCCTTAATTTTCATCGCAAGAGCTTACAGATCACTTACATTTTCAACTATCAGAGTAGTGTTCATTAGCATGGTGTAGGTTATTAATGTTTTGTCTTCCAATTTTAAAAACCTACCCATATTCTTCTCGCTTAAAATATATTCAACATATAAGATATTGAATAAATAAGGGGAGAATACAGTGTTGTTTTATCCTTTGAAGTCAGTCTGTCCAGCTCTAATCTAGCCCTATCATGGTGAACCATGGTGGTGCAGTGGTTAGAATGCAGTACTGCAGGCTACTTCTGCTTACTGCCAGCTTCCTGCAGTTCAGCTGTTCAATTCTCACCAGCTAAAGATTGACTCAGCCTTCCCTCCTTCTGAGGTAGGTAAAATGAGGACCCGGATTGTTGAGGACAATAGGCTGACTCTGTAAACCATTTAGAGAGGGCTGTAAAGCACTGTGAAGTAGTATATAAGTTTAAATGCTATTGCTATTGCTATCATAAAAACTATTATTATTCTGGAATATTTTCAGATCTTTATCTGTGACAGACTGAATGGTATCTCACCTGAAGCCCATTATCTAACACTATATTACCAATCATTTATTATTATTTTTGTGGGGATTTGGTAAAATACAGGAAAGGTACAATTAACCTTCTCCCACACCACAGTCATTAGAGACATCATCCATCTTCAGCACCATTCCATACTGCTGCTACTCAATATATATATGTGCTTGTTTTGGTTGCAAAACTGGGATGACCTTCAGGCCTTGGATGATCTTTCTGGAAGTAAATACTGTACTCTTGGTATACATTCCTGGTGTTCTTTGCTGATCCCTCCAGGAAGACAGACACATACATGACAATGAGGAAACAACCATGCTACTGTGCTTGAAATTTCAGCTGAAATGGCTTTGCTTCTAAACTTACTAATGCTTTGATCGCTTAGCAAAATGCTTACAATGTAATCTTTGCAACACAGTGAAAATGTCCACTATGTACCATGGTTGAGTAAATTGTTGGCTTATAGTACATTTCACCAATCATACTAATCTAGCCTGGTCTAGATTCTGAAGACATGATGTATTTTCTGTCATTCTTCATCTTAAGAATATATGAAGTATCATAAATTATTCACCTATTTAAACCTTTATTGCATATCATTATGCACAGGAAACAAAAAAAATCTAATTATATTTTTCCAGGAAGGTTGTACTTCTCTCTTCTGTAATTATTTATTATATTATACATCATAATAAGATGCATTGCTACCTGTTTGAAAGGAAAGAAGAAAATGTCAGCTGGCAAATATATTACAAATCACATTTTGTAACTGCAGTCAGTTCAACATGTTCTGGAGACATGGGGAATATAAAATAGCATGACTGAAATTTTTCTTGTTGCTTTTTAGGTTCCGTTCCTTGCAGCTGGAATTAAGATTCATGAAAGAAGAGTATCAGACAGCCTTCGTCCTTTCCATGAACGTATGGAGGAATGCTTCAGGCATTTAAAAGTTAAAGTAGAGAAACAATATGGAATCAGAGAATTGGTAAGATTTGTTCTTTTAATTTTATAAGGTTTTTATTATATTTTATCTTAACAAGAAAAAATCATGAAATTTGGCCTGTGATGTAGTAACATTACAACTGTCTATTTGTGATTTAAATTGTGATTTAAATATCACTTTACTTCGTCTTTCAAACAATAGACTTTGTCTGATTTATTACTACGAAACTTCTATAACTGTTGAAATATATACTGTATTCTCCATTTCATTAGGAGAGTAGAAACAAACCTTATGAACTCATATAATCCAGAGCTTAGAACTTCTCATTCTCTTAAACCATTGGTCTAATTTTAATGGCTAAGCATTTTGAGTAAGAATGAATAACCAGCAATACTCCACTCTTTTTTTCCTGAAGAATTCCAACTGTTTGGAAACAACATATAGTTTAGCATAATAAAATATAAATATGAGTTGATGTTAAAATAGCAGTATGTAAAATCTGCAGAGTAAAATTAACAACCTTGTGATTCTCACAATTCTTGGAGCACATCCAGGTAAAACACTAAATAATCAGGTAAAATGTTTGACATCACCAAGAACAGGAAGGAAAGTTGTATATGAAGGCTTGAGGCTTCAGCATATGAAGGTTGAAGAAATGTTTATAGTTAGTGAACCTTAAAGCTCATTTGTGGGGAAGACATAGACTTAACTTCTAATAAATGCAAATTATAGACAGTTGACCACTTTGTATATACACTGAATTTGCTTTCTCTCAGTTTTATAGGTTACATCCTTATTTGTTATGAAAAACAATTTGCTAAGCATGGAATTGGGTTGTCCTTGCTGAAGAGGCTACGTCCTTTTCAGTTCAGTTGAAATGCATATATATCATCTTTGACTATGAGCCGGAAAAAAGATGACTTAGATAAGAGGTTGGCAATTGTGTTAGATCCAAGGCACCATGGAGTGGCCAAATGCCTCTTGATCTGCCTAAAATCTTGCCAGGTTTCTAAATGTTCTGAGATGTTTGCAATCTCATCTAAAATTACATTAAAATTTTCAAATTCAGAAGTAGAGCTTTTCAAGAATTTTGAATTCTTGTGCAAAATGTCATGACTGTTGAGAGTTTAGATTTAGTTCAGCCCTTCTGTATGATTTTAATGTGAATATGATGTTACATTATAGATGCTGTTTTTGATAACATCAGATGCTCTAGCACCCGTGAGTTACCACCTAAAGCTTGATATAAATGAATCATAAGGGATGATTATATCATATTGGAACATTAATTTAATCTGGTCAGCCATATACCATGGGAAAATATCTAAAGTCTGATAGTGTGCTACAGTTTCATTAAAGGCCAAGCAGATAGGGACCAGCAGATGAATTTCAGTATTGTAACATGCAAAGTATATGGCTTCAGTGTCTTTTTAAATATATAGAAGTGATTTCAATTTAAGTATTTCTTAGATTCCATCTTGGATGGAAATTTTCCATCTGTTATCATAGTACATGAATGAAAAATCATTACTATTAGACAGATAGGAAAAATAAATTACTTCACTTTGGAAGACGTTTCTCATAAATTAATAAGCTCAGGGGATGACAGTATTTAATGTATCAGCCGATGCATATGAAAACCACTTAATATGACCAATCAGGTCCCTCTGGTTTTATCATTTTTCTTGGGCTCTCTGGTGTATGCCCTCTGTGGAAGGCAGCTGTGTTGACTGTGTCTTCCTCCTGCATTTGGGATTTAAAGGATCAGAAGCAATTCCCACTGCAAATAAAATCTAAAATGTATTTGAAAATACTGTTGGAAACTCTAAATGGCTTTCCTGCATTTCTTGCCAGGACTAACTCTCTGAGTGCAATAAGTCGAAGTATGAGATTATATGGCAGTTTTCATATAAACATTGTAATAGCTCTGCAATATTTTAAGTCTAAATTTTCAGGTTTTAAGATAGGGAAGTGGCAGGTTTTCTAGTACACATACACACACACACACACACACACAAAGAGACACACAAGGAGGGAGAGGGGAAACTTCAAGTAATAACATGTAAGAAAGCAGAACTTCTGGAAAGAAAATGGTTGATCTATGCTCAAATTGTAATTCAGTGATGGCTTCCATCTTTTTTTAAAAGAATGAGAAACACACACACACACACACACACACACACACACACACACACACACACACACATATATATATATATATATATATATATATATATATATATATATATATATATATCACGTCAAAAAATAAAAATTCTGAATAATTCTGGAAACCTCATTTTATATCAACATCTGGAACAATTTACAGTAGCTACATTTTTTCAACTTAATGATTAGAATGACGAGAAAATGTCTCAGCCAATATTAATTTACTTGCATGTAACAAAACAAACTTGTATTTGCTATCTAATTCACTATTCAGAAATAACAGGATTAATTTAGAGCTTTTAATTATGAAACAACAGCTTAGAGATATCTTAGGTTACTTTAATATCACAGAATCACCTTGGGTCCCAAATGATTTCTCTTGTGTTCTGTGAATATATATACTTAATTTATGCTGCTGTGTCTCAGATTTCTTTTTTAAACTATTATCACACATAAATGTACACATGTTCATATGTGTGTGTGTGCATGCACACACACACACACACACACACACACACCTTTCATTTTCCAAAACAAAGAAAAAAACAGCTTACATTAATGATACCTTTAACACCATCAAACAGCAACAACTGCTTATCCTAGGTTTTTGGGAAGGACTGGATAGGTGGACAAAATTGTCGAATACAGTCTAAACATTTGGCCTTGGAAACTTTACCTGGTACAGAATGCAGCCATGTGGGTGGCTCTTGAGGCCCCTAGAGTGGCCTTTGTTACATTGTTGTTCTGCTGTATTGATTGCCAGTTTCCTTCTGGGTCCAATTTAAAAGTTATCTTTAAAGCCCTTTGCGGCAAGGGTCTATGTTATCAGAAAAGTTTCACCCCAGTTGGATTAAACCACCCCCTACACCAGGAGAACAGGCATGCTGCAGACCCTATTGGTCAAGGAATTTTGGCAGGAGAAAAGCTTTTTCTGCCATGGCGCCTGCCCTTTAGAACATCAAGACTCATGAGGTGAGATCCGCACTCACCCATTTGACTTTCTAACTAGCCTGGAGTCCCAATGAGTAAATGGCATACTGGTTAATAGATTAGACAGGCCCCACCTCTTCCTTGTGCACACATTTACTCCGTTTCTCTCCATCTTGGTCAATTTTAACTGAATTTCAAATTTATGGTCTTTATTTATTGTTTTAATGTTTATATGGTATTTTTATTGAATGAGTATAAGCTACCTGGAGTTGTTTTGACAAGATGGGTGGCATAGAAATTTAATAACTAACTAAATAAAATGTATTGGTTGTAGATAGGACATAGTTCAGTTGCTGAAGTTTCTAACATCAATCCTCTCACCTCAAAAAATCTAAAGAAACTGTGAGAATAATACTTGGATAGGACTCTCTTTCAATTTGAGACAAATGACAAACAATCTGACAATAATAGAGAAGAATGGAAACAGAAGAAGAAATTTTAAAGCACAGTGGAATGAAACAAAAAAGGTTTTATTTTATTTTGGTTTTTATAGGAGAAGAAAAAGCTTTCAGGACATTAGATGACAGGTTTAGGCTACGCGTTATAGATGTCAAAACTAAGGTCAATTAAAATCAAAATAAAATTCAATGTATTTATTCCTGCAAAGAAAGCTGTAGAGAATAGCTCAAAGGTATTGCATTTCTTCCCCACCGATCCAGCCAGTGAAAAGCAATATATAATAAAACCTTTATTATCATTTTTTACTGTGAACACAATGGCACACATTAAAAATGAAATTTTGTTGCTTGTCCTCAAAGTGTACACATATATAACACACATTTAAGCATACTATATACAACAGGTGTCCCTAACCCCCGGTCCATGGACCAGTACCGGGCCACGGCATGCCAGCAACTGGGTCGCACAAACAAGCAAAGCCACATTCACTAGATGCAGGCAGCACACAAAACCACGCACTCTCCGGTCCGCAGAAAAACCTTTCTCCGCGGAACTGGTCCCTGATGCCCAAAAGGTTGGGGACCTCTGATATACTACATATGTATAGACCTATACCCTTACATATAAGTAACATATAAATATTAATCACTGTCCATCTTGAATACATAATGGAAGGAGGAAGCTTTAGAGTTCATAAGGTTAATACTGTATGAAACAAAACTGTGACTGAATCTGTACTCAAACTTTTTTATGTTGTGTTTTCTCGAAGCCGGATTTTGATGACAGGCGGTTTGGCCGACCAACATCTATGCTGAGATCATATCGTCAGATGTCCATTATTTCAATGTCCTCCATGAATTCTGACTGCAGTACACCAAACAAAATTGCTGTAGAAAGGTTAGTTATGGGCCAGCTTCCCAACATGAGTTTTCTGTAAGATACAGACCAGCAGGGAAATGACTGTAAAACAGAACATATTACATTAAAAAAACACATTGTGACTGAACAGAGATAGTAAGCATCTAATCTTATTTGATCTATAATAAAAACTATTACAAAAGTGAATGCTGCTTTTAAAACTAGCAGTGGCAGGCTGATAGCACTGAAGATTGAAACTGCATTGAAGATTTATTCACCATCACTCTAGTACTCATATGCATGTTCACTGAAACTCTATATAAATATAAAATTCTATATATATAATATTTTGATGATTCTGTAGGACTTCCCAAATATTGAGGTTACCTTCTTGAATTACCTTTCTGCGTAGTTTAACCTGATATGTTGTTCTAATTGTCCACTAAGTTTTATGGCATCATCCAGGAAAATCCCTCCATATGAATAGTTTTGGAGCTACTTCCTAACCAATAAACACCGAATAAATAAAATGTAGAATGTCTAGATTTTTAAAATGCTTTCTGCCTTCTCTTTTTCTTTTTGGCCTTTCTTTTTGGTCTTCTGAAAAGCCTTGAAGACATGACTATGCCAGGTAGCCTGGGATCCTGTGACACTTTGAAGATGGCTAATGTGTGAACTTTGTTCCCTCTTTTTCCATCCTGTTTATTTTACTTGCATTTTAAACTTAAGATCCTTATTTATTTGTTTTAATGTTTTATAGCAGCGGCCCCCAACATTTTGGGCACCAGGGAACAGTTCCATGGAGGGTGTTTTTTTCATGGATGGGGAGGGACACGGTTTTACATTCTGTCTGGATCCTGCACATGTGTGGATGGGTCTTTGCTTGCTTGCATGACTCAGATCCTGACTGGCTGCAGCCTGGTACCAGTCTAAGGACCGGGGCTTGGGGACCTCTGTTTATAGTACATTGTAATCAATGTCTGTAAGCTATCTAGCATCTCTTTGGAGAGATGGGTAGCATACAACTTTGATTAAATAAATAAATAAATATTAGTTTTTCCTTTGTTTTCTTATTTATTCCATTCCAAGCCTATTATAATCCTGTCTTCAGATGAACTCTTTGAAAGTTCTCCAGTACCCTCAGCAAATGGCTAGGATTTTCTTAGGTCATTTACCTCCTACTGGTTGTCAGTTCCTGTTTTCATCTCTTTCCTGACTAGGGAATGAATGCCAGAACTAAAAAGAAATGCCTGGGTAGCTGTAATGTTTTCCTTAACTAGTTTTCAACTGCTAGGACTTCTAATTCTTGCTTTCCCTCCAGAACTGCCTCATGCCATTGGATTCCCTCTGCAAGGGAACAGCAGTTCTGTGGGCAGATTAATTAAGTTAATTAATTTGTTTCCATTTACACCGGCAGCTTTGAACTCGAAGTCATGTCACCCAAGGCAACCGAATCTGTGTCAGAAGAAAATGGTCGTCTGATAAGCAGCCAGCCTGAAGTGAAAATGAGGAAAGGCCGGAGGAGAGAAAAGAGAAGCAGTGTACTACTTCCAGACAAAAAATCTTCTGACCTTCCTGATATGAAATGTGTATGTTACTTTTAACAGGAATTTAATAGGAAATATCTTTTTAACCCATCTGTGGCCCTTTAAAAAAAAATCTTGCATTCTTTCAAAATGCAACAGCCAGTTGACAGTCTAACATGTTGTGAAGCTGCATTACTCTGTTTAACAAAGTCAGAGGCTAGGAATCTGCCCTGTAGCTGACATTTTCTGGGTTAATCTGCTGCCTAATGCAAGGGCAGATGTTGGGTGGGAGATTGCTTAAGCAATCTGGAGGGGAGCAGCTGGCTGCACATCTATGGCCTCCAGTTCCAGGTGGGGTGCCTTCAAGTTAAATAAATGCTCACTTTGAACCTTATTAAAGAAACAAAATGTCTTGCTATGATACCACAACTTTGCAAACTATCCCATAAACAGAGCAAAGAGCTGAAGATACCTCACTGGCACCTTTTTTATGCCATTTATCATCTGAGCACTTTGATTAGGGTAATATATCATCAGCCTGAATTTATGTAACTTGCACTGCAAAATTTTATGGCAACCCTAGGGGGACAAAGGGCTTCTGAGTATTAAAAATGCAATGTCATTAAAGAGAAAAAAAATCAGTTCAGTAAAGAAGTTTCATCCAATTTTGTTTGCTGCCCCAAAGTAGAACTACATAAAGATTAGGTTAGATCACAGATCCTTTAGAAGAATTATAGCAAAATATACATCATTATATCTGGACATAAGCTATTTATCAGAAACTATTATCCTATCTATTTTTTTAAGCCCAGGAGTAAATTGAGTCTCTTTTATGATTGCCCAAAATATAAAAACAAAGCATTCAAAATTTTATGCTATTCTAATTTTCTTATATCTACTAGGATTAGAATTTAGGGGTTTTTTTTGTTTTTGAAAATTATAGTGGCATAAATTGTTGTTAGTCAGAATGTGCTGTCCTGATGATTTTGAAAATAATTAAATGTGTGCCCTTATGCTACTTCTTCACTAAATTAAGAAATTTAGAATTGAAAAAAATAAGAAAAATCAACTCTCTGATATCAAAAAATGTATCAAGTATATTTATGCATACATCTTCCATAACCACCCTCCACACTTTTCATTTATTGTCACAATGGAATAGTATACAGGTAGTCCTCAAGTTATGAGTGTAATTGAGCCTGCCCATTCCACTCATAAATCGAAAACTCGTAGAGTGAATCTCGTTCCTTTAGCGAGATCACTCTCTTCCTCATTAAAACGCATATGGCTCTTTAAGTAAACATGAGGTATCTCAGAGTGGGGAATGCCATGGGGGGCCTAGTGATAGAACAGGACCCAGGCCTCCCAGACCCACTAAAATACCTCATGCTTCTCCCTCCCTTCCTGCCACGCGGGACTCACCTGGAAAAGGTCTGTCTCCTCTCTGCCGTGGTTCCTGCTGCCACTCCGATCTGAGGCCAGGGGATGCGTCCACAGCCCCATGCAGCCCAATCCGGGCTCTGGAGCCTGGAAAAGACCTCCGGAGCCCAGATCTATGGCTGCAGATCGATTTTGCAGCCCCCCCAGTGGCCCAATCCAGGCTCTGGAGGCCTTTTCCAGGCCTCCGGAGCCCAGATCGGGCCACGGGGGACCACAAAATCACTCTGCAGCCATGGATCTGGGTGGCAGAGGCCTTTTCCAGGCTTCCAGAGCCCTGATCCAGCTTCCAGAGGCACGTCAAAGCATCCCCCAGCTTTGGTTTGGATCTCTGTTGCAGAGAAAAAGGCCTAAAGAACCATGAGATCACATGAGATCAGTAGTGTGAGATCTCGCTCCACTGATCTCGCGTTATTTTAGGCTCCCATTCTCTGCAAACACACCGAAGGCCTGGAGCAGCCAAGAAAGCGAAGATTCTTCGCAGGGTGAGTTCTGAAGGTCTGGTACCTAGGGAGACCCACAGCAGGGGTGGGGAGAGAAGGAATAACCCTCTGCGGTCACTCATAAGAACAAATGACTGCTGTGGTGCTGCAATACTCGTAATTACACTAGGGGGCAATCATAACGTAACTTTGAATGAGCATTAAGTGAATGCTCGTAACTCGGGGATTACCTATATAGAATGAATATTATATTTAATTTTAGAATTTGTACTATTTTTGAAAAACATAAACCTAGTTACCTATCTGGCTAAACATATGTAGAGCAATCCATAACAAATAACAAATACTTCTTCCTCTCTCTCTTTCTCTGTGTGTGTGTGTGTGTGAGAGAGAGAGAGAGAGAGAGAGAAAGAGAGAGAGAGAGAGAGAGAGAGAGAGAGAGAGAGAGTGCACGAGAGAGAACCCACAGTTTACAGTAATCAAAGAAACATACTTTCCTAATATTATTATTTATTAAATTTATTTGCTGCCTAATAATGTTAAAAAAGGTACGTTTCTTTGATTACCTATAAACTGTCATTTTAATATGATCATATCTCATAATATTTTTTATATTCAATCAACAAGAAACCACGAACTAATTCATTCTGAAATAGATTTGTGTGTGTGTGTGAGGGAGAGACAGAGACAGAGACAGAGAGACAGACAGACAGACAAACAGATAGACATTCTGGTCCTACCACTATGAAGATATTTGGACTTCAATTTCCATGATCTCCAGCTAGTGACAGATAGTGTGATAATTATAAACTAAAACAAGTAGACAACTCTAAATTATCTCTATCTGGTATAGATTATATTTTCTTTCTTTCTTTTCCTCTGTATCTTTGAACAAGTTTTATTAGCATTTAAGAAAGATGAGCAGAAGCTCCAGTTTGATTATGCTGTTAGAGCACAAGTCAAATTCTATTCACTTATAACAGAATAATTCCAGTTGAATTTAAGGTCCCAAATGGCATCCTTAAGTCAATAACTGACAGTGGCTATGTTTACCTAATACATTACTGACTTTATACTTCCCAGTGTGATCCAAAAACAGTTTCTTTTTGACAACCTCCAATTCAGGAAGAGTCCCTTCATACAATTGAAAAAAAAATTACTGTAGGGCACAATCAGATTGTAACTATTTTATCTTATATATTAAAAAGTAACCCATTAAAATCAAACAATTTACTTTCTTGAGTTTTATACTTTGATTTTTTGTTGCTGTTATGACTGTGCAGCTGTCAAGAAAATATGAATTTATGAGTGATACCAACCTTTCTGAACATCTGGATGTACCTCAGAAAACATCTGTTCTTCTCAAGCAAATGAGTTTTGCCAGCCGCTCTATGCCAACCATACCAGGTAAGTTAATTAAGAAAGTGAAACCTCTGCAGTTTTACACTGTCATTAATTTTTTTAAAAAAGATCAAATCCACCCCCATTCATTTAAAAATAATGCTGTTATGTTATATAATTTTGCCAGAAATTAAATAATACATGAGCAGTTGCAGCATCTTTTGAATCTAGACCATATATTTTCATGTAGGCAAAACCTATATTGCCTAGTAATTAAATATTTTTAAATCCTTCTTGTCCTTGAGTATAGATTTTTTTTGGGGGGGAGAGAACATCAGCATGTATCATGGAGAATGTTCTTTTTGTGTAGTGTACATAAATTCATGTTAACACTGTGGAAGAATATATAAAGATAAGTCACTTTATTCATACAAGTATTTTTGTTCCATAACATAGGCATTTAAAACAGAGAGAGAGAAATAAAATGTAATGTGCTTGTGGTAAAGGCAACTATTTAATATAGTGTTGATAAAAACAGAAAAGTAGACAATGTATATTTGTCATAACCGATAAACGTCAAAATTCATCTAGATACTTGTACATCACATTCAGCTGTTGTTTTTATTAGTTGTATGAGTGATCCCAGCAATTCCCTCCTAAAATTTCATCATTCATGTCTTAAATAAATGGTTCATCTTGCTGAATTTGTGAACATGGTCTGATAGACTGGGAGAAAGTCTAATTCTTTTCTGGTTTACAACTCTGGATGACTACAGTTCTTTTGGAATAAATACTTCCATAAAATAGTGACTGATTAGCTATCTTGATTTTTGAATGTGTGTTTGAAGTAGCACTTAGGAATAGCACTTAGACTTATATATCACTTCACAGTGCTTTACACTGTGGTTTACAGGGTCAGCATATTACCCCCAATGATCTGGGCTCTCATTTTACCAACCTCAGAAGGTTGGAAGGCTGAGTCAACCTTGAGCCAGTGAGAATCAAACTGGCGAACACTTGGCAGTGAACAACCAGCAGAATTAGCCTGCAATACTGCATTCCAACTACTGCTCCACCACAGCTATGGAAAATAGTTCCTATACCAGCATGTAGCCTCAAAGAAGCCTAATTGAAACACAGTTTTCTTCAAGGCCAGAAGGAGGAACTGTTTTTCCATGCTGGTGCAGAAATGGAAACACAGCAGTCTTATTTTACGTTCCATAAAAAAAATAGGAAAGATGATGGCTGCATCAGTGGAAATGGAAGCTCACTTCCTATACTGCTCAAGGAGTCGGGGACACAGAATGATAAAATGTATGTTAGAAATTACCACAGAATGGCTCTATATATTAAATATATTATTTTTATCACTACTTAAAGATGTCAGGGACAATGCTAAAATAGGATAACATTTCTCTTAATGTCTCAGCCTTCTGCGAGGGATATCTTTGAAGGATATTCTATCATGTGAATATTTACATAGAGTGAGAATTAACCATTTCTGTGAAAAGTTAATCTTTAGCCTTCCTTGCAACACACACACAGAGAGAGAGAGAGAGAGAGAGAGAGAGAGAGAGAGAGAGAGAAACTGCTGATCTATCTTTACCTCTATCTCTATCTATTTATTTGTCCATCTATCTGTCCATCTATCTATCTAATAGTTTTACTTTTGAAGTGTTATTTGTGATTACCAAGATCCAGCCACATCAAAATATGTCTTTCTGAATGTAAATATTCAGGTTTATTTTTGCAATTTACTGATATGGATTCCATTTTGCAACTTTATTGTGACTACGTATGCTGCACTGTTTTAAAGCTTTAACTCTATCCATATGCTGTCCAACCCTGGAAGAAACAAATGTGTCACAGAGAATCAGTCAGACAAGCATTCCACCCATCTTGGAAACAGAAAAGAAAACTCTAAAAAAGAAGAAAATGAACCAGCTCTTCAAATCAAAAGTAAGCATCAGTGTTTTTGTTCAAATTTTAGGCATTCAAACTTACCGTATATTCCGGCGTATAAGACGACTTTTGAGAGCATTGAAACAGGTGCCGAACTCGGGGGTTGTCTTATACGCCAAGTCGTCTTATACGCCGAAAATAAGATAGTTTCTGGCATATAAGACGACTTTCTAGGCATGTGACTTGGCATCAATCGTCTTATACACTGGAAATAACGTAGTTTCTGGCATATAAGACAACTTTCTAGGCATGTGACTTGGCGTCAATCGTCTTATACACCAGAAATAACGTAGTTTCTGGCATATAAGACGACTTTCTAGGCATGCGACTCAGCATCGATCGTCTTATACGCCAGGAATACCGATAGTTTCCGGCGAATAAGATGACTTTCTAGGCATGTGACTCGGCATCAATCATCTTGCGACTCAGTGTCTATCGTCTTGTGACTCGGTGTCGAACTCGGGGGTCATCTTATACGCCGGGTCGCCCTATATGCCGGAATGTACGGTATATTTGTAAGCAACCTGCACATTTCATGTTGGCCTACAGTATTGCATCTACTTAAAATGATAAAAATTAAATATTTCAAAATCTACCCTGTAATACAGGTAGTCTTGGATTTACGACTACAATTGTGCCCCAAATTTCTGTTGCTAAGCAAGACAGTTGTTAAATGAATTTTTCCCCTTTTATAACCTTTGTTGCCACAGTGAATCAAAGTTAGTAACATGGTTGTTAAGTGAATCTGGGTTCCTCATTTACTTTGCTTGTCAGAAGTTCACAAAAAGAGATCATGTGATCCCAGGACATGACAACCGTCATCAACATGGGTCAGTTGCCAAGTATCTGAATTTTGATTGCATAACTATGGGGATGCTGCCACAGTTATAAATGTGAAAAATGGTCATAAGTCACTTTTTTCAGGTCCGTTGTAACTTCCAATGGTCATTAAATGAATTATTGTAAGTCAAGGACTTACTTGTAATCCCCGACTTTGTTTTTGTTTAATTATTTTATTTTCTATTAGCTAGCAATGGATTGCAGGGATTTTTAGTACAAAATACGCTTTTCAGTCCATGTCATCTGATCAAAATGCTGGATGCTTTTGGCTACAGTGTGTCACATTATATTTGAAAAGATTATGCTTCAGTTCTTTGTTTTCACAGATGATGACTGCATTACCATGTTAAAGCACCCCAGTAGATTGTTGCAATTATTATATCCATGATATACTCCTGTAACAAGCACTATGAGCTGATTGATTGGCACAGTTGGGGTGTTTATTTAATGCCATCATACTAACTTAATCAAAGATGATTCAGGACACCTTGACACCTAATATATCTATCAGCATATTGATTTGTTAAAAAACATACAGATTGAACATTAATTACAAAAATATTTTTATGTTAGTTCTCCAGAGACAAAATTTCAGCGCATCGGCATTGCGTTTTGATTCCTCAAGGGCTAATTCAAAAATAAATTGCATCAAATTTCATGAAAATATATGCTAGCTTGAAACTTTGAATTATTTCCATTGTATAATATAGGGAATAAATTAGTCCCAGTAGGAAACTGGAAGGCGAAAGCTATTTCTCAGATCTCCCTTGTCAATCTTACAAACAATTTTAGACCAAGTTGAGGTGGAAATGTTGCCCTGAATATATAGGATTGTTCATCTAGAATCCAGAACCTGAGATTATTTTTGAGCTTGCCAAGTACAGCCTTGTCACAGAGCCAAATAATAGTTTTTCATGTGATATGTAGCATGCATATCCTATCCGCTTCTCTGACTAGATTCACATTTTCTGATGTAACCCTCAGAGATGTGAACCAAAGCACATCTTTGTTCCTATTTCTAAATTTGCATTTTGCAAATGTTGTTTTATATATAGCTTCCATTGGTGTTCCAGTAATAAATATTTTTAGGAAGGTCATCTAACTTGGCATTGGGGAAAAGCTTCTGTTCTGGCTGTGCTAGGGAAATAAACATTACTGCTCCTTTCTCCAGATGCTGCATTCCAAGTAAGAGTCCTGATAATTAATTAGAGGAAATAAATTACTTAACTGTATATATTAATTACTTCCTGTCTCCAAATCCAGTGCAGAGGGCATGCTGTGGGTTGAGTTATATAGGGAGCTACATTTGGCAGGGGGCCTTCTCAGCTGCCACGCCTGCATTGTGGAATACCCTTCTCCCTGAGGTTAAGCTGGCACCATCGCTCTTAGTTTTTGAAGGTCCCTTAAGACCTGATTGTACATCTAGCCTATGGATGCCAGAAATCAGGCAAACTACTGATGTGACTCTGTTATTATTAAAAAACCCTTCACCCATTGTTTCTTTCTAGCTCTGTTTTATAGTTTTAATGTTTTTTAATAATAATTGTTGTTTCTTGTGAACTTTTTTTTAAAAAAAATTGTTATATAATGCCTAGAGTCACTTGTTTCAGGAGATGGTCAACTATATATGCTTGAATAAATAAATTAATATGAGGCATCACATGTAATAGACATCTATTTCCAGCCCTGGAGCAACATTTTAAGTTCATATCAAAACCGTATTACAGGTAATCCTCGACATATGATGACAACTGAAACCAAGATTTCTATTGTTAAGCAAGACCTTTGTAAAATGAGTTTTGACCCATTTTATGACCTCTCCTGCCACAGTTCTTAAGCAAATCATTGCAGCTGCTAAGCTAGTAACCCAGTTGTTAAGTAGATCTGGTTTCCCCATTGACTTTGCTTGTCAGAAGGTCACCAAAGGTGATCACATGACCCAGGAACACTGCAACCATCATAAATATGAGTCAGTTGCCAAGTCTCTGAATTTTGATCACGTGACCCTGGGGATGCTGCAATGGTCATAAGTGTGAAAAACGGTCATAAGTCACTTTTTCAGTGACATAACTTTGAATGGTCACTAAACGAACTGTTGTAAGTTGAGGATTACCTGCAAGAAGAGGATGAATAAATCTCTCTTTTTAATCACCCCTTTCCCTAAGAGGAAAAACTAAACTTTAAATAAATCAGTCACCTAATTAGGCACATATAATTTGAGTTCATTCAGGCTTTTTACAACAATGTAGCTCTTTCAAGAAAAGAAGCCATTGAAACTGCTGATTAGCGCCAAACCCAAGGGATTTACTCTGACATTTGTTCAACTACCTTGAGGAAATTAGCAGAGTAACTAAAAGAGCCTCTTATTTCCTATTTCTGGTGGAATATCAGAGGATTTCAAATGCATCTCTGAGGCAACTTTCACCAGGTCTCTAAAATTATCAAAGTATTCTTGTTTTATCCAAGAAAAGCCTCTTTTCTAGACTTCAGTGGGTTCTTCTGTTAATGCTTGCTGTGTTCTTGAAAAGGAGACTTTAAAAGGTATCCTTCAAAGTTTGTAATTTTTTCACTGCTTTCCAAATACTATCTGAACATAGAATATACTATAGAACATAGAATCATAGACTGGAAGGGACTTCAGAGGTCTTCTGGTCTAATGCTCTGCTCAAGGCAGGAAACCTTATGCCATCCCAGTCAAATGGTTGTCTAGTCTATTTTCAAAAACCTCCATTGATGGAGCATCCACTACTCCATTGATTAATTGTTCATGTATCAAATTATTTCTCCTTACTTCTTGGTTGGATCCCTCATTAACCAGCTTCCACCCATTACTTTCTATCCTGCCCTTTGATGTTTTGGAGAATAAATCAATCCCCTCTTCTCTGTCACAGCCCCTCAAGTACCAGAAGATAGTTATCATGTCTCCCTTAATCCTTTTCTTCCAAAAGCCAGCTATTGTAAGAAGGGGGGGGGGAATTAGGAAATGTTACCATATAAAGTTCGCAGCAAGCGTTGGATTTTAATGTCAATTCTGAACTGATTGCTTACAATAAGATCACAGAGAAATCCAGGTGTTAATATTAAATCATTTCCTTCTCTTCTACATAGTACAAGTCCAAGCAACCTGAAGATGGAAGGTGTACGGGTGAACGGCAACCTGACATCTCTGAGCTGTGAATAAATTCCACTGTTTGAAAGAAAATAATTATTAGCAAATTTAAAAAAAAGATTCTAAATTGGAAATTAAGGTTGGCTTACAATGTTGATAATGTATATAAATCATTTGTACTGTTAGTGAATACTTAATGCTGTTACATTCCTAAATGGATGACTTTGGTGATATGCAAGATTTGTTAATCTGTGGGCTTAATCTCAATATGCTAAGACTCAATGATCATTGGAAAAAGCGTTGATCTCTCACTGTGCATAGAAATTGATGAAACCCAAATAATGTAACCCCAGACTTGACATTGACAATTGTTTTGCCTTATATTTGCAAGGTTTTAAGGTTTACTAAAGTCAAAAATTTCATTCAATCACAATCTTACTTGATTCCATGGGAGTCATCATTATGCATTTATTTCCCATTACCAAGATATCTCTTATGACCTCTCTTCTATATTTTATTGCTTGTTCCTGGAATACAAAAAAGATGGCTTGTGAGATATTTGTTTCGTATTAAGAGGCACTCTGCCTTTCTTGGCTTAAGCGGTTCTTTTCCAGAATTGATCCTGTCGGTCTTCTCTGGCAGTGTAACGTCAGTAATTATTGTAATAGCCCAGGCTGAATTTGCCCACAGGTTGATAATTTTCTCTGTGTGATATTTTAGTACCACAGTATGTTTTTAAAATGTTCTGTCATAAACTGTATCATCTTTCTTTTAGGAAGCCATTTCAAGAAATATATCTTCATTGGTTCATTATGCCAACATTATGTCAAAATATTCATTAGTTTCTGTAATTTCTAGCTGAAGCACATAGTACAACTGCTTTGATCTAATAAACATATGATCAGAGGGACTTTTTTTAAAAAGTGTTCAACTTCTTTCCTCAAGGTACAACTGAAAGTTGCTTTGGAATTGCTACAAGAACGGGGTGTGGTATTAACTTACTCTTAATAATTGATATTCTGCTGTAGTAGAAGTTTAAAATAGGGGAGCCCGACATCACTTACTATTTGTTTCCCCTTACTTGAAATATCCACTAGCACAAAAAAGCAATCCAGACTGAATTATGAGGCAGCTGTGTTTGGATTTTTCTTTGGAGTCTGCAGTAGCTAACCCAGCTTTCTATCACATAGAATATTTTGGTCTTATTTCCATGTGATGTGAGTCTTGTAGAACTACAAGCTTTCTCAGCATTTATTCCCAAGATCTAGAACTCCAGAAGTCAGAGGTCCAGAATTTCCAAGATCTAGAAGGGCAAATCTGGAAGAAGATCTGTCTAATTCCTTCTGTGTTATTCATTTATTTATGAAAATTTATTTGACCACACAACTCATTCTTAGTGACTCTGGGAAGCTTACAGAAATAATAGCCCTATATAAAAAAACAATAAAAAGCAATACTCCTTCTTCCATCAAGAGGCAAAAAACATTCATTTCAGCAAAAATATTACATACATTCCATCAACAGGAAAAACATATTTCTGCAGAAACATTACATGCACTCCAGTTTTGCTGATAAATTGTGTAAGGTGCTCTGACTTTTATTGATATTTATTTATGGTTTGATTGCATACTTATAAAAGCGCTTCAGTCCCCTCATTTAGAATGGACTGTTTCTAGTGGTTAATGTTAATAAAATAATACTTACCATAATGCTTATAACCTATCATAAGTATTGAGTTATAGATTGTCTTTTGATAAAGTCTTCAAGTACTCATTGTGTAGCAATGAAGATAAATAACCCTACAATCTTTGCCTCTAAATATCACTTTCCCCATTTGCATGATCTCATACTTACAGCTTAGCAGAACACCAAAATCAGATGCAGTAACAAGTACCATTTTCACACAGGGAGTGAATCATCCTGACACCATCAAGTGTTGAATGAATAAGCTATTATTTTTCTTTTTTTTCCATCATCAGATCTGCAGAGTGCTGCTCATTGCTTGATATTAATTCTCTGATGTACAGGCTTTCCCTAACATGAAGCTCTTTGTTTAGTATACTTAGTAAAATATTTGTATAGAAACAAGGCATGTCAAGTTGAAGGGAGTTTATTTCATTTCTAATTGAAAATAGAAAATATGTTATTCAGGCTTCCTTCCTTTCTTCTGTAGCTTGGAAATAGATAATAATGAATCTTGCTTGAAAATAATAATATTGTATGTGACTGTGCATACTTAACTTTTAATAGAAATGTGAAAAATATGTTTGATTTTCATTTTTTAAAAAACAAAAAAGCAAATTTAATATAACTCTTATTTCATTATACATTTTAGAACTCAGGTAAGCATAATTTGTGCATCAATAAAACTAAGACTATTAAATCAACATACAATCATAATTGATAATCTACTTTTGTATAGTGGCTTATTAATAGTGGAATTCTGCTCAGTTTATTGAGAAGTAGTTCCCTCTTGTACTTAAGGATCCATGTCCTCCATTCATGGGTAAGGGTGGGTAGGCATGGATGAAGCTTTTGTATATGTTTTATCCAATGATTGGATGCTATTTGTTTATGTGGCATTATTTTTTTTATTCTTTTTTTCTATTTGAATTTGTGAAATGCCCTCAGTTATTTTGGAGTCAGATGGAAATAAACACAATAAATACATGCAATATTAGCCATCAAGCTCAACATTATCTATTATGGTGACTGGCAGAGATTCTTTAGAATTTTAGACCAGGTTTTTCCACATATACTTGATAGTGGTAAGGATTTATTTTCTTTGCAAACAGGATTAGAAAGGAAAGTCCTGGCCCAATGTCACTGAATATTCTTCAGTATACCTTATTTGAGTGGTCTGGGGCCATCATGCAGCCCATCACCTCCAGGCTGACCCAAAAGATTCTCTAGTGACAAGGTAACTCCACTAGAAGAAATGTGGCTAATTGAAGAGAATTTTCATAGCTCAGGGTTGAATTATGGGGTCAAGGTAGGTAATAAAACATCTGCAAGAAAACAACCGTAATCAGAGTCAAGCTATTCTCCAAAGCACCTGAAGGCAGGACAAGAAGCAATGGATGGAAACTGATCAAGGAGAGAAGCAACCTAGAACTAAGAAGAAATTTTCTGAAGTTAGAACAACTATTTGTCCGAAATGGCATAGGGTTTCCTACCTGAGCAGGGGGTTTGGTTAGAAGACCTCCAAGGTCCTTTCAACTCTATTATTATTATTATTATTATTATTATTATTATTATTATTAGTAGTAGTAGTAGTAGTAGTAGTAGTAGTAGTAGTACTACTACTACTACTACTACTACTATACTACTACTACTCCACAGAAGTGTGATTGATTCTGTTCTTCCTGATTAGATGTTGGAATGTTTGTTAAAAGAGTTATGATGAGTTTCATGCTATCCCATTGTGGAAATTCTAAACAGAAAGTAATATAAAAGAAAACCAAGGATAATTCATACGAGCGGAACTCAGTAAGAATGTATTCTATATGCACTCTGTGTAGTCTCTATGTAGACACTGAGTCTTGGGTGTTCACAAATGAACAAGGGCTCTAGAAGTTAACATATTGTGCTCACAATAGGATTGCCAAACTATAACTTCTAGAAATTGGCAAAATCAGCAGTGGATGATGAGCACTCCTAATTTTCCCCATGTAGTACTGTATAAACGTAGTTTTCATCTACCGCCATAGTAGCACAGTTTAAACTGGTTGGATGAATGACGAGTCCAAGAAGGAAGAGAGAGTGAAAATTAGATGGTCTATCTCTGGTATTGTAGTGGAATTTCAAAGAGCATTATTAATCCCAATATGCAATGAAACAAAGGTACTAACAAATTTATGATCACATGTTCCATACTGAGCTTCTTATTTTTAGAAGTTATAATGGAATTTACAGGGTCATTTGTCTGAACAATCAATATTCAGCCATCCCAACACATTCTTAAAGAGAAGATCTGCTGAAGGTTCACCCTTCAAATGAGATGAGGGGGGGGGGGCAGGACTGCGAAAGTATTTTGGCTACTAATTTTCTTACAACATGAAATGTCCCTTACTTTTCAGCCTTTAGGAAAAGTTGCAAGAGCTCGCTGTCCTGCAGAACAATGAGTATGAATGGTCTGAGTACTTGTCAAAGATAAGTAAATAGGTTTGTATTAAAATTAATTCAGTGATATAGAAAAATATAGAAATGGTTCAATTCATTTCATCAACTTTTTATGTTCTGATTAGCCAGTTCCAGATTCTCAAGTTGATTCCTGCAAGTCATTGCCAGAATTTATGACTTGGTGTGAAGTAAGGTGAAAAAGATAGCCTTCATTCCATCATGTTAAATATAGTTTGAACCACAATGCATCAAAGTTAGTATTCTGGTGCTACCCGAAATCTACAGAATCCTGGTTTGTTAAATATTCATGCATTGACTATGTTTTAATTTGAATTGAGGTTTATATAACACAAGAATTTCTACACCAAACAAATATGGAGGTCTCAACTAAGGAAATAGGCATTCTCCTTTGTCAATGTTTTGCTCCAAGAAAGGAGGGAAAGGGACACCTCAGCAACAATAAACCTACTAAAATAGTCTTGTGTGTCCAAGTACATTATTTAATTGCATTTAATTTAATTATCTTCCTTCTCTCTAGAGAAATATTTCTAGACACCTCATTGAATAGTCATATGTCACTACAAATCTTAATTCATACAACTATGGAAATGAATGTTGAAATATTCACTCATAGGAATGTAAAGTTGAGCTCAGTGACCTTTGTCACATTTTTGTGGTTTTCTTAGTAACATTATAGCTCTACCTTACTATTACATTTTTCAATCTAGTCTATGTCTCTATTATTTCTGGATGAAGCCCCATCCAAAATTAACTACTGTAGCCCTGTTTAATTTTGAAAGTCAGCCAGAGGTATAGGTTATTGGTTAAATATTTCAGGTTAAGTTTCTGTGACATCCCTCCAGGAAGATTACATTGCAAACATTCACCTCGTTCCTTTACTGTATTACTAATGAATCTAAGAAAATAATCTTTTGGAGAGCACAGCACTAAAGTCTGAGTTTTCCTTCTAAGTAAGTATAGTATATTTATTTTTAAGTGCTTTTAGTTGTTTTGTGTAATTAAAATTCATACCTTTTTGGCAGTAAATTCTCTAATGAGTCATGTCTGAATACGAGCCAGCAGTAGGAAAAAATACTTTCCCACATTTCACCTCCATATATATTTAGAGATGGGCTGCATATGTCCTTCTTGCAAAGGAAAAGAAAATAAGTTCTGATGTAACTTTCATAGCAGTTATAATTTTTATACTTAATGTGGCTTCTTCAAGTCGGTCACATTTTATCTTTGCACACAAGGGAATGATCCGGATGAATAATGGGGTTGTTCTCCTTGATTAATTAAAATTAAATTAACCTTGATTAATCAAAATTAAATTAACCTCGATTAATTAAAATTAAAAGCAGTGTTTCAGAAACAATCTGTTAGTTGAGGCCCATCTAAGTTTTTTTTTAAGTAGCAAAATTACTTTTAGTTCATTACGTCTGCAGTTCTAGTGACAAACTGACATTGCCTTGGATGTTCTTACTATCTTTTGCTTCCGATTCCATCATGCATTAATAATGTGCTTGTCTGTTATTCCAGACTAAAAGATACATTCATTCCCAACCTATCATTTATAAAATACCTTAAAGCATACAAATTGTTGATTTAAAAGTAGATATCTGTTCATTTCTACAAATGCCTGGGTAATTTGAGGAATTTTTGTATTTCTAAAAAGGCTTAACATATCTGGAGGCCACAGAATAGAAAAAGAAAGTACTGAAGAAAATCACAAAATACAAAAACTTACAAACAGAAGTGGAGCAACTGTGGCAAAAGAAAACAAAA